TAATTGTTAAAAGATCGCAATCTTATTTCTAAATGACAATTCGCCTGTATTAAACATTTGACAAAATCACACCAGAACATTTAAGTCTGCGTTGGCGGCAGATATGAAACTGCAGATTTGAAACTGCTTCACAAACAGTCTTCACCCACAGTATCGCTGTTTCTGTGTTACAAAGAAAGTGTCACAAAACTGTCACTATGGTCTTAAGACACCTTGCCTGTAACGTTTTGTTACGGTATGTCCACATTGTACCCTTTGCTGCATGCGTTTTGCCCTTTGGAATGATATCTGATGCCATGGCACTCAGGAATGCTTGGACAGTGGCCCGTGCTGAGACAGAGCCATCTTGGGGTTTTTTTTATACACGAACGGGACTGTACTAAAATGTACAGGAAGAAAACATATTTATCTCACACCATAATATAGTGTAGCAAACTGTGTTGTACAGGCTAAAATCTATAAATACTGCACATTTGTACCAATCCAATGTCACAGTTTTGGGGTCTATAAACGCTCGATCACTTGCCAAATGCATACAACAAACAGTGCTCATATAATTTTGTCCTCGCTATAATTTCAATAAATTTACAAGTCATATCAGGCATCAATAATTATAAATGTAGAGGTGAGATGATTGTTCAGACTACTTGTAAAAACGTGCATAGAAAATATAGCACTGCAGGCAAAATCAATTTTGGGATATTTGTCTTCAATAACAGTCGTCTTTCAGACTTGTGGTGAAATAAATTCTGAAATACACATTTAGGTCTTTATTTTACTATACTTTGTCTGTTTACGTCTGTAGATTTCTCATAATGAAACAAAAGTTTGCATTCTAAATCGTCCCGCTGCTCCACGTTCGCTGTATGTACCTTGTCATCACATACACCGTTCTAATGCCTAATTTGCATATTTAAAAAAATGTTCTCATCTTAATGTAGGTAATCAACTGGGAAAGTTTCATGGTTTCAATTATAACCCTACTATTAAATCTAACAGATGCTAATATTGTCTCCAATGGTGTTCAACACGCATACCTCTGTTAAAATCTCAGAAAATTTGGTTTGGGGTTTCATGACCCTTTAAAAATAAAGGGTCATGAAAGAGTCAGGCTAATGAACTCACCATTCAAGCAGTCCGCTCAGAATTAGCGCTAATTTGAAAGTGAAACTAAAATGTGCACGGCCGCATGCGTTCACGATTTATTAAGCAGACATGTTCAGTTAAATAGTGTCTGTTGACTGAAGCAAATTATTTTATAAAATTAAAATAAATAAATCAAGTAGCGGTGCCGTGGTGGTCAAGTGATGTAACCACCAGTGTTTCTTCTGAACACCGATAACACCTACTATCGTAGCAGCAAGCCTAGTACATTATTGAAAATCTAACCATAAGCTGTTTACCATAAGAACTGGTCTGCTGATAGATATTTTAACTTCATTGATGATTCAGGTCATGTGGCAGCCCTGGCACTATTGTATCACACTATTGGCTTTCTCACATTGTGATGGCCAACGTATTATGCAATTGTCGGTTGGTTATGGCAGAATTTATTTTTACATTGTGCTCTTTTGAATGAGCTCAGAAAAATGTGCCCTCGAATAGTTTCAGGGTAAGAATAGCTGTGAATGTGATCTGACCATAGTGACATCATCCTTGTCATGCAGCTGCCCAGTGGACGTAGTTACGTCAATTGTTTATTTTAAAGTTCTAATATGCAGGTTGATAAGTAAGGTTGATTCATTTATTCTTAAATTTTAGTTTAGATATGTTTAATTTATATTATGTATATATATATATATATAGATTAATCTAGATTAAAACGGCTCATTTGAATTCTGCCGAAGGCATTCAGAATGTGTAAGTAGATAACCTTGCAGGTAGTTTGTAAGATGGGCAGGGGCGGAGCTACACTGTCAGTACAGTGGGGGCGGAGCTGCATCATGGGGCTCTCTGCTACCAAGTCATTTTTAAATTAAAACCGTAAAAAAAAGGAAAATATCTGATCAATGCATGTAATAATGTGTCACTTGTTGAGCCAAGTAAGCTTTGTGAAATAAAACACAAAGACTATCTCGTTCTTTTCCTTTTAATGCACCCGATTTATATTCTCTATCCATTTTCGTAATATTCTCGACATTATTTGCACCTCACACCACCCACTGTACTCCTGAGGCAAGTAGGCCTGCCTTATACACTGTGTTTCGGTTCATTTATGATTCACAAGACGAGCTTCAGTTCACGCGCCGGCGTGTATTACTTTATAAAAGTATTACTTTTTGTACTTTTGCCACCTAAATGTAAATTGTTTTTTGTATTTTTGTATTTCCCTCATATTAAATATAAAATGTGTAGACTGATATTTTCCTAATGTCTGGATAAACAGAATTTTCAAGGTGAAACTAAGTCATCATAGCTTGCTTATAGACCCAGCTCCCAACCCAACTTTGAGAATGGATTAACAGCGATATTTCTTTTTCATCGCCCGATAAGAGTCTCACGTTACGGCCCACCACTAATATATATATTTATATATATATTATATAATGCGGTTAAAGGTGCTGTATGCAATTTTTAGCGGCCTCTAGCGGTGATGTTTCAGAATGCAACAAGAGCGCTCATGCTCGTGTGCGTGCTAGATCTCAAGAGCGAGCAGTCACTACCGGCCACACGGAGACTTTCAACACAACGGCGAAATAATCACACAGCATGCTGGAAACTAATGTAAACTCCCACTGCAGGTACAATAATAGCCTACTTTTATCAGCTTGACGTTGAACTAATGCTCTGTGCTCGTAGTCGTACCATGATAATGTTACAATAAACTGCATTTAGCCGTTATTAAATTATGACATTAATGCGATTAATCGCGATTGAACATTTTAATCGTTTGACAGCACTAATATATATTTAACACATGCACATATATATAAATATATATTTAAGTGATGTCACAGGAAAGGAAGAGGTTACTTTATTTTCTCACAGACCTATGCAGTGTTCTGTCTGGAGAATTGGCAAGTGCAGCAGCAATGGCTGGGAATTGTGGGTGGGAATTGGGGTATTATCTAGGGAATTGAAACAAATATGCAGTAGAGGGACTCATGCATAGTCCTGAGAATACCCTGAGTCGCATCTGGAAAAATGTCACATAATCACCATCTCCAAACACCAGCTCCTTCTATAGGGACCACCAAAATGTTCTCATAGACATGCAGGGATCTCTTGGGAAATTCTGGACAATGTCTAGTGCGCACTCTTGTGCCCCCCCTTTAGGATCCTTTCTTGGCTGCAAGTGGAACATTTTTCTCATTTCATGATAATCATTGTGCCTGTAATTGTGGCTTTGTCCTGATAATAGAGAAAATACTTGGTTTAAGCCCTATTTAAGCTCATTGTCTTTGTATAAAAGTGAGTGGGCCGCATGTAACAAATCCGTTTACATGGCCACCAAATGTGATTCAACCTTTTAAACCGATGTGGTTGGAAAATATTGTGCAGTAGACATATTATAGACTGGATGTGGACATGTGCAGCATGCATTTAAAGAAGTTTAGTCTAAGCCCTGACTTAGACAAAATGATACTTAGTTGAAGCGTCCTGTATCTTAGTCCCTCATGATGAAGCATCGATAAGCAAGGGTGGAGAAGCCATTATCAGTTGTGGGGACATATCCCCATCTCTTTTTAGGAGACAATAATTATTTTTCAAAGACTAATGCCTTAATAATGTGTCCCCACCGCTTTTTTAGATCTTCCCTGCTTCCCTGCACAAAAGACAGGTGCCAACTGACAGCAGCTGTTAGTTGATAATATGGTCTTAAAGCACGTCTTATTTTAGAGACGTGTTATTATGGCCAAAGGTTAAACTTTTTTTTTTTTTTTTTAGCTTTCTGATGAAATTGTTAGTGGTAACCGATGGCAATATATTTCTATAGTTAAGTGTTCAATTACTGATGAGCAGAACCATTTTTGATACAATGGGCTAATATGCACGCATAAGTTCCGCATTTGACGCAAGGATGCTCGCCCATTTCCGGTTGTGGAGAATAAAGCCGAGGAAAACCGAGGAAAACGGGATTATGGCAGAGTCTTCAAAATTTACTGTCCTCCCGTCTTTGAAAGGAAACGTACATGCGTTAAGATGTAATTTTATATATAGTTATGTTTATTTAATATAATTTTAAAAAGAAGCATAAACACAACGAGGGGTGTCTGTTTTATCTGTTTTTGTGACTAACGTTTCTTTATTATAACCATGGAGTATAAAATTCAACATAAATTCTCGGTATTGCATTGGACTCTACGATCGGCGGAAGTTATCGAGCATCCTTAATCCTGCACCGGAAAAACCGCCGTGCATAGAGCCCATAAAAACATGATCATTGTTTCATGCAGCATCAAATTCAAATTCATTATGAATAATTGTATTATATTATATTTAATGTATTTATATATAGAAGGCATTCAGATTGTATATATATATATTATATATATATATATAATTAATTTATTTATTTTAATTTATATTTGCCTACAATTTATGTCTGTAGTTAAATAATGTGGGATGAGTTACAGTACATGACAAAGTTTAATATTTTAGGTTTAGAGTTTTTTCCGATTCCAAAATCTTAGTGTGAGCAAGAGTAATTGTGATAGTTGTCTTAGCCACTAATTATCTTAATATTTCTGTGGACATGCCGTGTGTATTTCAGTTTTTAGTTACTCTTTTTGGCGGAGCTAGTAGTGCTGTCCACATGCTTTGATTCATGTGACGCAAAATGAACTCTAGTTGTTTATTTTGTGACCTATTTCCTTCAGTTTTTTTGTGCCAAGGAGAGCATTGTCAAAAACAATAGTCTTAAGCCCAATTATGCTATAAACTCTCAACTATATTGCATAATTCTCAATTACACAGACGAAGGCAGGAGTAACAGGAATGGATAGTTTGTTGACTCTGTTGTGACACACATTCATACATCTTTATCTCTCTCTATCCAGGGCAATGATGAGGAAGCTGTTGTTGATCAGGGAAAAACCAGCTCTACCATCCACACAAACTTTGAAAAAGAGGAGCTTGAAAGTAAGTCACTCCCTCCTTCTTTCCCATAACCCCCTCCTTTATTTTACTCCACAAAATCATATGCTTTGTTTATCCTCAAGCATACCATCTGGTCTTTTGGCACATGGAGGTCTACTGTGAATAATATCTGCGGTTCATTCGCATTTGTTACTTTTGGGAGTGTTTTAAAGTACAATGATTAAAACCATCAACCCCTCTTAACCTCATTTCACTCTTTGGCTGAGTTTAATGAGCTTTTTGACCTTAAACAAGTCTTAAACCGCCCCCTTCCCCTCTGAAGGCGTTCTCATGGGCAGGTGATCTGATCCCGCTATCAGCCTTCTGCATGTGTTCTGGAAGCTTGTACATGTTGGAAAGGAGCCACTAGATGTTTGGTAACAGCGCTGTCAGATGAGTAAGGCCAGGAATGTCTAGAACTCTCAGGAACTCAGTCTTAAAGTGACTCGTACAAAGTATGAGGGAACATATGACCTACATCTGGCTCGTACAATTATGGCATTCATAGTCTGGGAATTGATTCCCTTAGTTTGGCGTCGGTGAATGAAACAAAACGGACCGATATGTACTGATATATATGCATTTATAATCCAATTCTAGATTGAAGTACGTAATTTGTAAAAACACTGATTATATAGCCCAAATTAATTTTGTTGACAAATGTTTTCTTTGTTAAATATAATCATTAAATTGGATTATTTATGTATTATTATTATTTATATGTTTATGTATTAAATTTATTTCAGATTTTTTTTTTTTTAAATAAGTCTCTTATGGTCACTAAAGCTGCATTTCTTTGACTAAAATACACTTAAACAGAAACACTAATATTCAGAATAAATGTTTCTATTTTAATACATTTTAAAATTTAATTTATTCCTTTTAAAGTAGCATGTATGGGCTGTGCTGCGCTGGCCTCCCGCTCACTTTAATAGTATTACAATGGATTAGACGACAGCTCAAGATCTGATTAATTAAACGGGGCCTGCATGGGTCATGCATTTGTGCCCTCCAGCATTAACTGCACTCTCTATTTCTCATGTAAAACACCATCTTGCACTGAACATTCCTGTTTTGTTCTCTTTCACTTTCTTTTTGAAAGCCTATGTAGTTTTTAACAGAAGTGACAGGAAATCCTTTGCATATTATTCAGTATAATGATTTTAAAAAAGTATGTAATACAATGTTTAATCTGCTCTTATCCATACAGTGAAAGTAAATGCTGACCTCCACGATCAGCAATACTTTCAATATTTCAACTAAATGATTCTCTACACAAAGCTATTATGCTTACATACTCTTTTTTTAAAATGATTTTTTTATATTGCTTTATTTATAGACCTCAGACAGGATTGTTTTCTTATCTTTGTTCATGCCATTCTGCCAGTCACATGTAATGGTCAATGAGTCATGTCATTTTGGTGCCAATTTAATCTTTCAGCTTCATGCTCTTTGATATCTTTATCATTTTCTGTGTTTTCCCATGCTGACTGAGTGCATTGGCTGATTATTGTAATTAGTAAGGACCAGGATGTGTTTTCACAGGCATGCAGCTCTGCACAGGGCTGTTGTTGTAGCTGGTGTTTAGGGGAGTGTCGAGGTAGTGTGGGAGGAAGGTTAGCATTGGTCGTCCCACCTCCACTCCCCTTTCCATATTGCTTGCCGTTGAATGTGTTGCTTTGTATGCACACTGTTATTTTCTTCTAAATCTAAATAGGGCACTGTTTTGCATTTAATCTGACTAAAACCATCTAATTGCCATTAGAGGCTTAATTTAGATTTAATGATGTGCTTAGGAGACCTTTGACCCTAGTGTGTATGGAGGAAGTCAACAGTGACAGTGTTTACTTCAAGTTGGGGAATACATGCTTTAGAGGATTGATACACATGAGATAAGGGATTTGCAGTGCCTCTATGTGTCTGAAAAAAAGTGCAAGATGTTTTCATGAGCTGTTGTGGCTGACAAAGTGTGTACTCGAGTCTCAGCCTCCCATGCATTCTGCGCATAGAAAAGCGTGTGAAACTGGTGTAGACACAGCAGGCGTTTGCTCAGACCTCACATGTGTTCACACACTGCTCACCCTGACGCTATGAGCGCTCCCTGCACACAACCAGCCTGAATGAAGTTAGGTTCAAATTGCTTGTTTTTTTCCCCCGTTTCTTTTTTGACATCATTCTTGTGACGCATGCAGCTTCTGCTTCCCAGAGATCTGCCTTCAACACAAAAACTCAAGCATGGGTGGTAGACTTAACATTTAAGCTTTCCTTAAAGCACAGCAGAGTCCGTTAAGACGTTATCTATGTCATCTTTAAAAGCACATCGGGTTTCTTGTGCAGTTTGTTCACAGTGTCATATTGAGTTTAGGAGGGTTGCTCCACAGAAGTTTGGGATGTGTACTGGAACATAGGAGCACTTGTCTCGTTTTACTCAAGGGGTTTGGTTTTAAAAATACCAGTCCTCTATGATGCTTTTCTTGGTGGAAATACAGGTACTAGATTGGTTATCCACACCAATATAAGACTTTTTTCCTCTATTGAATGAAATGGGATATTTAATTGTGTATGTTTATTCCCCCCATTTTTACCTTTAGATTACTTTGGGCATAATTAACCTTAACCCCAACTCTGTAGTAAATGCATGTAATTAATAAATATTTCTCAGTACTTATTTGAGTAAGTACAATGTAACTAGGTCACCTTAAAATAACTTGTAACCAAAGTTTATGTTTTGAGAACTTTTAAATGTAATAATTTAACAAATCTCAAAATGAATATCCAGTTTTTGAATATTGTGGTGCTTAAATTTGCTTGTAGCATTTAAAATTCTATATTAAAGGGTTTTATTTATTTTAGACAGCTTGCTATGTCTTTACACACACCAGTAAGTGCTAATATAAACCTGTTCTTATTATTAGTGGATGGAGTCCATGTGTTTTGGGTAGATCATTGTGCATTTTTTTTTGCAGTTTGTTGGGAACATTTTTGTTTTTGCGCATTGAAATGTGGCTCAGGAAGTGCTTACTTATGAGATTCAGACAATGAATAATTCAGCTTGTGCGTCTGGAACAGTTTGTATGTTGTGTCTTCCTTTTCTTGTCCTTTAAGGACTTTAAAAGGGATTCCTCTCACATGCAGTACAGGGCAGGTGGATAAAGTCTTTCTCTTTATAGGTCACAGGGCAGTTTATGTGGGTGTACATGTACCTTTAGGAAGACAAAGCAGACGTAGACATCGCCATCGTGGTCACAAACACCATCGGAAAAGGAAGGATAGAGGGTCTGAGCGAGAGGACGGGAGAGAATCACCAGCATACGGTAGGAATAACAGTCAGAATGTCTCAATGGTGCTAATTTTAATGAATGAATGGTAATAAATTCCTGTATATTTTGTCTAAGTATCTTTTGACTCTTTGGCATTGGTCTCTCTCACTCATGGCTGTAGACACTCCCTCACAGAGGGTCCAGTTTATCCTCGGCACAGAGGATGATGATGAGGAGCACATTCCTCATGACCTCTTCACTGAGCTCGACGAGCTGTCCTTCCGTGACGGAAATGCTTACGAGTGGAAAGAGACAGCCAGGTGAGGACACAAAATGAAGCCTGAGAGTGCTTCATATATAATTAAAACAAGTATATAAAGTTAATAAATGCATCATGGAATATTGCAATAAATAAATAAGTGCAATAAAATGTAAGCATAAATCAAAAAGGGGTGAAATTCACTTTTAGACTAATTTATTTATTGAAACATTTCATTATGCATTGTTGTTTTGTGATTATTTGATTTGTTATATATTGTGTTTTATTTTACTTCAATGTGTATTTCATTTCGTAATGCATTGAGTTTTTAATTTTAAGATCTATTTAAGGTCTATTTCATGCCTTATTTATTTGTTCCTACATTTTATTGTACTTTTTATTTGTTGATTGCAACATCTAATTTCATTATATATTTATTTAATTTAGTACAATATATAATATTTAACTAAATACAGGGACATTTTGAAAATATTTTCATTGGCTGATTAACAGAAGAAAAGTGTACCAGTTCCAGAATGTTGTCAATGGATAGTGTGCTTTCTCTCTCTCTTTTTGTTTTTATCAAATTGGGTATGAATATGATATAAAACACATGTAAAAATGTTAATGTCCTACTATTATATTAACAAGTGGCCACTCGGTTCTCTAGACATGGACTTCAGCTTTGGTCTTAAAAACATAATGGTATCATTGGCCCCAAAAAGTATTTGGACACGTTTTAAAAGTCATTGCATTTAAAAACAAAATATCAAACCAAGTGGCATATATTCTGCTAACAACATAAAGCTAGACCTTTTATCAGAACACTTTTTGTTGCCATTTTCACAAAGACTTTAGAAGGACTTAAAAGGATAGTTTTGTATGATGTAATTTCCTCTCAAGTTCACCACAGATGTAGTTCATCACATAAACTATGGACAATCTGAACATGTGTCCACCAGAATGTGTCAAAAACACTTGTCTTAATACATGGTCAACAAATCCTCTTTGTTCCAGGTGGTTGAAATTTGAGGAGGATGTAGAAGATGGAGGAGATCGCTGGAGTAAGCCTTATGTCGCCACACTTTCCCTGCACAGCCTGTTTGAGCTACGGAGCTGCATTCTCAATGGCACTGTCATGCTGGACATGAGAGCAAGCACCATTGAGGAGATAGCAGGTAACATTTGGCTGTTTGATAAACCCTTACGTCTCAACATGAACACAATGAACGTCTAAAAAAATGAAGTTCTCTCTGCTCTCAGACATGGTATTGGACAACATGGTGGCGTCCGAGCAGCTGGATGAGAGTTTGAGGGAGAAGGTGCGGGAAGCCATGATGAAGAGACATCACCACCAGAATGAGAAGAAGCTCAGCAATCGCATCCCGCTCGTACGCTCCTTCGCCGACATAGGCAAGAAACATTCAGACCCGCACTTGCTTGAGAGGAATGGTGAGACCTTTTGCTGTGCTTGACTTTCTTTCTAATATTTCTTAGATTCACTTAAATCCACTACTTATTGATCCTTTGTTCCCACTCAAAAACAACAAATGAAGGAAAGTAGGGGTGCATAGGGTGGTCCTTGTGCCTGTGGCCAGCTGTTGTTAAAGACGTCCGGCAGGGAGTGTATGTGACTAGATGTTCGGTTTCTTCTGTGCTAAAAGCATCGGATTTGAATGTGAAGTGCATGGTGCATTTCGTTGACTCATTTCAGGCCATCACTGTGTGCTGTGTTGGTTGTGTTTCCTGTCTTTACTCACACTAAAAGCGTTATCAATGAAGAGCTCAGGTGATGGTGTTGTCATGGTCAAGGCCTGTTCCACAGGAAATGCTTGAATGTGACAGAACAGCAGCGTTATACAGAAAATAATTAAGGGTTGCAACATTACATTTTAATTATATTTTGTAAATATTTATTTATATCGTCTTGATGTCTTATTTTCATGAATAGTGACATCATATGGTATTATTAAGAAGTTTGGGGTTGGTAGGATTTTGTAAAATATATTTTAAAAATCATAATTATCATGCTTGCTCCACCAAGGCTGCATTTCTTTCAATAAACAATATAGTAAAAACAGTAAATATTGCGAATTATTATTTTACGAAATATATTACGAAATATTGTTTCTTTTTTTTTCAGCATACTTGAATTAAAAGAACAGCATTTACTTGAAGTAGAACTTTACTTTTACTTTTTAACAATTTAAATTAAAATATTAATTTTTAAATATATATATTTTTTAAATGTTACTGACCCCAAACGTTTGAAGAGTAGTGTACATACAAATGGCGATTAATAATGGCGATTAACAGAACTCAAAACACCATAATCTATTTTTAAACTGCTTGTATCATTTGGATTCAGTCATTCTGACAGACTTACTGAACAGAAAGTGCGGCATGTGTGTTTTATTGCACATTTGGACCTAGCTTCAAACCCAGCTACCAATTTGTTTTTTAAAGAAAATAATATTTTGCTCTTTTTTTGCTTCATAACTTGTTGAGCAGCAAAAGATTGTATTGATTAAATATATATATATATATATAAATCTGTTTAGTTGAGAGTGGCTCTGTTCTGAAATGCTACTTGAGTGCTGCTTCTGTGAATCAGGCCTAGCTCTGATTCTTAGAGTTGAATGTGGGTTCTGTGATGGCAAACTACAAGCTAGCCTGATTTATTAAAATGTTGACGATGAGCGTGTGATGGTCATGTTTCTGGGTGTTGAACCGTGACTGATTTGTACTTTCCGTTCTTGCTGCCATGCCATCTCACGTCCTTATTCTCATTCTAACCGTCCCAACTCCCTCATCTCAACATTTTTGCTTTATTTTATTCATCAATGTTATTTCTATCTTTAGTCTGTTTACTTTGTTTTCCTCTCTTCACACTTTTCCTCATCCATTTTGACCTCCTGAACTGGTCCCATCAGGGGAGGGTCTCTCTGCCTCCCGTCTGTCCCTCCTTAGACGTACCTACTCCACCTCCACACCCCCCAGCTCGCGCCGTCCCTCCAGAGACTCCCACGGTTCCCGTTCCTCCATCATTTTCAACCAGCTTCTGCCCAGCGCCAACTCCACCCCTTCTGCCACCCCTCAAAACACCCCCCCTACCGCCCATCGCGCTTCATCATCTCTCAGCTCCCCAGGACCCTCTCAGCAGGGGCCCGAGCTGCTGGTGGCGCGGGGAGATAGAGAGGACATTCCAGAGGTTGTGGTGTTCCCGCCCGAGGAGGAGGAGGAACCGCAGTCACGGTCTTTCGCCACTCGGGATGAGAAGGTGGTTCATGACCCCAACAGGCTGGCTCAGCTGTTGCTCCTACCGCAGTCAGGCAAATATCCAGCCCATCAGCATGATGTGTCTCCTGCATGATACATTTGCTCAGCCTCACACTCTTTTTATATTTGTCATGAGTGTTTGAGTCCAGAAAACTAATTACATTAGATAAGAAATGAATGGTCTACTCTGTGTTCTAAGGATTCTGTTTTCGATTATGGCACATACACTACTATTCAAATTTTTATTTGTTTATTTAGTAATATTTTATTATTATTTTTTAATTAATTTAAAGAAATTAATACTTGAATTCAGCGTGTATTCAGAATACTTTCTATTCATTAAAGAACACTGAAAAAAGTATCGTGCTAAAATATTAAGCAGCACAACTGTTTTTAACATTGATAATAATAAGAAATGTCTCTTGAGTAGCAAATCAGCATATTAGAATGATTTCTGAAGGATCATATGACCGTAATAATGCCTCATTCAGCTTTTCCATCTCTTAAATAATATTTTAAACCATAATAAAATAACAAACCGTTATTTTAAATCGCAATATTTCACAATATTACTGTTGATTCATCTCGTTTGATCAAATAAATTCAGACTTTGTGAGCTTAAGAGACTTCTTTTCAAAAACATAAAAAAATCTGATCCCCAAACTTTTAAAAAATTAAACGTATATAAAGTAATATTATTGTATAATATAAAATGAATAATGTAAACCTGAAATCTCTCACCATCATCATGCTAAACTCAAACTTCAGCAAGGAAAGTGTTTGTGTGTGTGTGTGTGTGTGTGTGTGTGTTTGGGTTTATACATTAAATACGCTTACAATTTAACCATCAAATATGTTCATAAATAAAGAGAAATAAATATATTTGACAAAATAAAAAATAAAAAAACACTTGGAAAAACAATCTAATTATGTACTACACGCTACTTTCGACAGTTAACCCCAACACTCTCTCACATTCTCTCCTGCCTCTTTATGACCCACTTTTCCCCACTTTCTGAGCTGTCTCAGTCCCACTTTTCCCTCTCTCACCCTAAGTATTTTATTGTCATCTTGTCACACCGTGTCCCCACATGTTTTTCTTGAGTTTCACCTTGTCCAATAAATTAGATGTTTTAAAAAGAGCGTGACTACCCATATGAGACATTTAAACTTTACAACTTTATATTTCCTTGAGAATACACACGTTTATACAGAACTTCCAGTAGTAGCACCTGCAATGTTTTATATCGGTTTTTTTTTAAGCATTCTTCAATATCATGAAGTTCAGTGGCCTCAAAAAAAGTATTTATATTAGCACCTCTGACATATATATTTTTTTATTTATTAATTCTACTGTTTGGGTTTGTACAAGTGCTCCACAATTGATGAGGGCACAGGGTTCTGCTCTAGCTATTGGGGCATAATTATGCACACAAGCAACCAGATCAATACAACGAATCACCACAAATTAAGACAAATATAAAGTGTGTTGGTACCGTACAGTTGCTAATAAATGATGTCATGCTGAGGAGCAGATTTCTTGCTGTGACACTTAGGTCATCGGCCTCTTGGAAAACACTTCAAGTGTAAACTTAGCCTGTTGAAATGGGAGTGGGTGATGTCACGGAGTTGCTCCATGTTGTACATTGCTGTGTTCATGTTGGCAGAGTGTGCAGCTCACAAACCTCCGTTCTGAGTGCCTGACCAGACCTTAGCAAGGAGGCAGTGACATTAAACAATTGATTGATTCGTCCATTCCATGCGTTTACAGGGAAGACCATAGAAGGAGGGTCATTTTGCTCCCTTTATTTTTAAGTTAGTGTGACGTCAAGCAGCAGGCTCAGATAGCAGGAGAGCTTGTTTCCGTGAAATGTCATCCCAGGCCTACACAGTTTTACAGTGCCTCTTTATGGATATTGGGAAATGTTTTCGATCGCTATGTGAAGCTAAAATCCCCACAGAATCCAGGAACAGTTTATGGCTCCCTCATTTAATGGTTTAGCCTTAATGCTCTCCTCAAATGAACTCATCCTGTTATTCCTTAAAAAAGGTTTGATTTCTATCCAACTATGGGTTGGAAAATCTTAAAGATCACTTTCTTAAAGTTTCCAATTCAACCTTCCAGCCTCCGTGAGCGTACACAACTCTGTGTGATGTTATCCAGAAAGCATGTGACCTGCTCTGCATGTCCACACTCTAGACCACACATTGAGTGTGTCGTTAACCTTTCCTGCATATTAAAGCTCAACACGCTTATAACACTGTCCTCTTCCGCCACTTTCCCTTTTCTCATCCCAACAGGTCTCCTTGCATCCCCCCAGTCAGCCCCGGGGAACCTGGAGAACAGTAAGGCCAGTGAAAGCCGTATGAATGGCGCTGGTGGCAGCCGGGAAAACAGCACTGTGGACTTTAGCAAGGTGAGCTTCCTCTGCAACACATCCTGTTGTACATGTTGTGGATGGGCATCACTTGAAGGAATAGTTTGACAGTTTGTGTCATTTTCTCATAATTGTTCCTCTTGGCTTGGGAAACCTAATAGAAGATCTTGGACAGGAGCGTTCATGCTATTTTCCAAGCTACTGAAGTGCACAGTGACATGGGGCTGCCAAGCTCCCAAAAAACATCAACCTAAAAACACAGTATTTATATTACACACTATTAGAAATAATTTTCAAATGATCTTGAAACCCACATTATTTCTAGTTCACCTATTGTCACTTTATAGCCCTTAATCCTATAATTTTGGACAAATGTGGGCACAGAGGACTCGGGTGTGATCCTAATTTTTATTTATTATAAATGTTATATCACTGTCTGTCTTTGATCAAGTTTTGTCTATCCATTTATGGTGTTTTTTTTATTTACTTCAAAAAGTACCATATTTTCTATGCAAATGATGCTTATTTTTATGTTTTATTTTTTTAACTACATTAAAATATCATTCCAATAAGTTCTTAGAGCTAAAACCTAAAGATGAAGTGACTTTGCTGTCACCTGATGTCTTATTTTTGAATGCTCTAAATTACAGTTTTTCCCATTCATTTTTATGGGTGTCCATTTTTGACCCAAAAACAAGATTAAGGAGGGGTTTTTTTTCACCCACTTAACATTGTAGAATTAAGTCAAAAAAATGGTATGTTCAGGAGGCAAACTTAGGAAAAGTAGCCAAGTCTTGTAGCACTCAGATCAAGGGAAGTATTTTTAAAAAATAAATCAAAACTATTTTGCCCACATTTGTCCAGAATACGGTTTTAGGGTTAAATCTTACAAAAGAAACTTGACCATGGCATATAGTATAATTTCGTAATTCCACTGATTCATAGTAAGCCCGTTTGTTAAATAATTGTTGGATAAGAAGGACTGTTTTACCTGTTTTAATATTTAAAAGCACTGTGAATGATGCTTTTTGTCATTTGAAGCACTTTTGGACTTTTTAATTTTCTAACTTTCCGTGTTTTCACTGTTATACGGTAGGGGTTGAAAGTGAAGGATGGAGGTACAATTTGTTTGGACAATGGTGGAAAAAGATTTTTGAAGTGGACATCAGGGCAAAGCATTTTGGGCAAATGCGTCAAATGACCTGTTTAATGAATGAAATGGGGTAGTTCTGAACCTAAGTCTCATGACAAGATGGCAGGTATATACAGAACACTGAACACTCTCCATGTCTGTCTGGTTGGTATCAGGACAGCCAATCCTCTTTTCACTGTAGTTGCAGCTCTCTGGGAAGGGGCAGCAGAAGGCCTACAGTAAGTCTCTACATCATCATAACTGTCTTCCAGTGTGTCGTCATCGAGTGCTTCTTGAGGTTGTGTTTGTGGCTCTGATCTTCTGTGATGTCTACTTGAGTGGTTAACCATGTTTTGATAACTGTAGTGTGTGTCGTGATAAATCATGTTTTGAAGTGTCTTGCGAAAAGGAACAATGTTTCTGTTTTAATGTTGCAGTACTTCACAACGGTTTTGCCTAAATCTGTCCGTAATATGGGGCCGTTCAGACAGGCTGTCATTTTATTTGCAGTATTCTTGTGGGATGCTAATTCAGGTTAGTTTTAGGGACGTCCAAAATAGTGGTCAACTGATGATATAATATGGTAACACTTTACAATACTGTTTTCATTTGTTAACGTTAGTTAATGCATTAGGTATAAGACAGTGAAATTTAAAAATTGTTTGTTAATTTCAACTCTTCATTGTTAATTTATGTTCTTTTTTCACAATACATCTAGATTAATGCATGGCATGCTGTTGTAAAACCTAGAATAAGTGCTGTAAAAGTATTTATCTTAAGATACCGGATGCGTTTGCTAATGTTAAATATGTAAATACTTATTTTAAAGTGTCTTCAGTATTATATTATGTTGCAAATGAGTTGATACTTATTTAACTACATATTTATGTACTTGTTTATACTCTAAAAATGTGTTTTTAATAAATGTTCATTATCATTAAGTCTGATAATGCTGTATTGGATTGCAGCTATTGTTGCCAGTAGGCTGACAGAGAGGCAAAATCTGTGGGCTCTACTTCAAGCTGCTGTTGAAACATAGTGAAGTATTGGTTTAAACAAATTCTCACGGTTATAGTTTCATTATGACAGCTTTGTTTCAAAATAACACCGAAACCCTAGACTGATATGCGATTGAAACCTGTTTTTCAACGAATGTCCACCTGTCTTGGAAGACGTTAGACAATGTTTTTTGGGTGTTAAAATTACCTGGGTTTTTCAATAACTTATTTTCATTCTGCAATTGATCCTCCACTTCAGATGATGTCCTATTTTGTTAGGAGTTAGGTGACATCTTCCCATGTATACTGATCCTGGTTAGAAAAACGTGACTCACTAAGAGAAAAACATTTCTCCAGACTGAACTGGTCTACATTCTGCTGTCCTGTGGATTGTGATTGTCTCACATGTCATGTCAGTGGTTTGGTATATTAGTTGGTTGTGTAATTGTTGCTTTTGTTCATTGTCAATGGATTTTCATAGAAGATTTATTTTTATGTGTTTCATAGTGTATGTGAAGTGTCATTGATAACCATGTTAAACTGGCTCAACCAGAGAGTTGGGCAGAAATGTAGTTCCTGAAGTCTTGAAACCTTTTAGTTACTGCATGATTACCGGAAATAAAAAAACCCATCACAAGACTACACTAGTTTGATTTACTGGTCTTGTTTTTGTAATACCATGGAATGTGGTTTAAAGCCTAAAGTATACTTCAGTTTATACACTCATGCGAGGGTCCGCGTACAGTGCACGTGATGCAAATTATGCCACCAGAATAGAACGTGTACTGTACGTGCAGATCGCACATGTGCATTGAATTTGTTTTGCACTAATCAGTTGTTCCATAAGTTGGCCCGGGCCATTTTTCACTGTAGAAAACTAAACTAAAGAGACATAACAACAAAACAACACCAGAGACTGCAGCAAAAATAGACGCCCAGATTGATAAGCGCTTGTGTGAGGGGGTATGAGATGCCGGCCGCAACTTTAGTTTAAAAGAATGCAAAGACATTTGTATTGGTCATAACTTCTGGAGAAAAATAGACACTTGACAAATATGAAACATTCTAGAGTGCATGTGTCAAGCCTGTGTATATAACAATTAGTAATGCATTCAAAATGTAAAAATATACAATATACTTCAGTATACCTGAATTCAGTCAAGAGGTCATGCTGTGACATATCGATTTTTTACTGGTCACACGTCTTCACGTGATACGAATTCATGTCAATTGGCAAACAAGTTTTCCAAACTGTTGCAAAATGCACTATTTTCCATTGAATTTGGTTTTATTATTGGGAGATACTACAGAGATACTACTAATTTTCTTCAGAGTTGTGTGACGGTTGATCACTGTTTGTGGATACCAGAAATAAATGAGAAGTGCCGTATACTGAATCATACCTGTCGTGCAATTGTCTGTGACTTCTCTTATAAAACATTATTTTTGTTGTTGTTGTTGTTAACTAAAAATAGACCAAACTAAAAAAAAATAATGTTTAAGAGCAAACATGTTGAAGATTTAACAAATGGGCTGTCGATTCATTAAATGATAAACCGTTTTCCCACAAAAGCAGTTTATTCAGTGCAGTAAAGCCTCTCCTCCATTGACATCAATTAAAAAAATTGATTGGATTCAAAAATTCACATCATGTGAAGACCAGTAGAATATCAATACGTCACTGCATGACCAATTTGCTGAATCAAAAGAAGACTTTTTGCTGTAATATAGATTTTTATATTTTTACATTTTGAATGTATTACTATTTGTTATATTTTTAATTAATTTTTATGCTACAGAGCATGACATCATACCACGACCGTTGCAGTGTCCAGTGAATTTTGCTCAGTCTAGTGTGACCGCGGCTTTAACAGGCGTTACACTTTTTTTTGCTAACCTTGCAGGCTTGCCTTCAAGTGGCTTTGTATTCGCATGAGCACGCGTTTCTGGTCTGACGCATTCGCATGCATATGAATGGAAGTCAATTGAGAAAAATGTGTAGTGTGTGACAGCACCCCTGTATACTTTGGACTTTATGCTGCCTTCACATGCTATCATAAAATGTCCTACTTCTTTTTTCTGAAGTTGTGATTATGAGCTTGTCGCATTCAAGTGCCTTGTTGGAAGGAACGTGAATCATAGAGGAGATTAGGTTTATTTTTGCATGTTTGATGGGAAAAGCGTATTGAAGCCTAATTATATATTTAGCGTCCCATTCATTGACAACCATACACATATTCTAATAGGATATTTTCACCGTGTATAAAACATACAATGAGCTTCAAATGATTATCATATGTAAATATGCACTAGTTTAACGACAAGACTAGTCAGCAGAAATTATTCTCCCCTCCGCCATGTTTAAAGATTATGGCAGGCCCAACTCGGGGAATTGGGCATCAAAATTATCCCCTAGCTTCTCAGTGGTAAATTTGATTTTGGGAGGTCGTTCATGTGGCATTATTAACTAGGACATTCGTAATCGCGATAATCCCGATAGCATGTTAAGGCTGCATTACTCCCAGCAAACCAATACCCCATTTTTGAGGTTCGTGAAGAAACACACAAACGTCTAAGGTCAGCACTATGTACCTGATCTTTAATTTTTTTGCTCTTAAGGTGGACATGAATTTCATGAAGAAAATTCCTCCAGGCGCCGAGGCCTCGAATGTTTTGGTGGGGGAAGTTGATTTCCTCGAGCGTCCAATCATTGCCTTCATCCGTCTCTCACCTGCTGTTCTTCTCACCGGACTGACCGAAGTTCCTGTTCCAACAAGGTAGCGCTCAAGCACCCCTGAAAACATAACTTTCATTTACATAAATGCACAAATAACACCCCCTGTACCCCAGGGAGACTTCAGTAGGTTTCTTCTTCAACACTTTTATGCAATCTTTTCTTGCAGTTTTATTTATTTCCTCAACTTATTTTCAGGTTTCTCTTCTTGCTGTTGGGACCTTTTGGTAAAGGGGGCCAATACCATGAGATTGGCAGGTCTATAGCTACTTTAATGACAGATGAGGTGAGGCTTTTACCTTGAACAATGCCGTATTTCTTAGTCTGTGTACCTGTAGCTCAAACAGTAGATAATGTCCCTCGAAACGTCAAGGTAGTTGGTTCAAATCCCAGATAATTCATGACCTGAAGAAAAAAAAAATACTTTGATTACAATTCAAGGCATCTGTAAAATGCATAAATGTAAATATAATTTTATTTGAATGAATATATTGCTGTGAGAGAAAAGGTACACTAATTTATAACACGTTTATAGGGCATGTCTAATTTTTTACAAACTTTGCATCTCACAAATTACGACTATGTTGCAATTACCGTAACGATTCAGAACTAAAAAGCCTTCACGTGCTGCTCACAAGTATATGGCTCCGACCTTAGTTGAACAATTGATGACAAGTTACACTACAGTTCAGCATATTGGACAGACTTTTGAACCTCACAGCTTCGATTTCATTCAGGTCAAATTAAATATGGCATCTAGACTAACAAATGTCCATAAAGATCAGGACAAACTAACCCTGCTTTAAGCCTTCAGTAACATTTTAATTGTGTTCAGAAGAACTTCTGTTCAGAAGTTGAGAATCAGTAAAACCTTTTATTCAGTAAGGATGCATTAAATTGGTCAAAAGTGACCGTAAAGACATAATGTTACAGAAGATTTCTATTTTAGATAAACAATGGTTCTTTGAGTTTGAACTTTTTATACATCAAATAATTTGTCATGGTTTCCTTAAAAATATTGACAATAATAATAAAAGCTTCTTGAGCACCAAAACAGCATATTAAAATGATTTCGGTTAGATCGTGTGACACTGAAGACTGGAGTAATGATGCTGAAAATTGAAAATTCATTCACAACAATACATTACACTTTATAAAATATGTGTGAAAAGTTCAATTTTACAATATTACTGTTGTTACTATATTTTTGATCAAATTATTGAAGCCTTGGTGAGATACAGAGACTTTCAAAAAACATTTGAAGGATGCTCAGACTGTCAAATTTAAGATTGCATCATTTCCATTTACGCCAGTATAATTGCATGTTCATGCCTTCTCTAACACCATGGCAGATCTTTCATGATGTAGCGTACAAAGCCAAAGACAGGAATGACCTTCTGTCTGGCATAGATGAGTTCTTGGACCAGGTGACAGTGCTGCCCCCAGGAGAATGGGACCCCACGATACGAATCGAGCCGCCTAAGAGCGTCCCGTCACAGGTAATCATTGCCCGAGAGATATGGAGTTGGGGCTGTTGTAGAGTAGCGGTTATGGCTCAGAAGTGCATCTCTGCAAGAAGCCAGCCATGAGCCACAGGATTACCAGAGTGTTGATGTTGCTTTTTTTTAGCCTCTTACATTTTGTTGTTTCAATTTCATTGCTGCAGGAGAAGAGAAAGATGCCTTCCATGCCTAATGGTTCTGCTCCATTATCAGAAATTATCAATGAAGAGGAACACCACACTGGACCTGAACTCAAGAGGACAGGACGGTCAGAGCTAGTACAACCTCCACCACTTTTATACTGCACACTCACCTATAGTATAAGTTGGTCATAAAAGTTAGTTAGTTAATATGTTTTCGGATTCATTTGAGGCTTAACTTATATATAAAAAAGGATAGATTCTGTTATGTATGATTCCCTAAATATGGCTGATGGGTTTATATAAATGGCATACTTAGATGTGTTGTGCTCTCACATTAAGCCATTAAGGTTTCTGGACTTTAAGAACATGCGGATGTATGTGTGTCAAAGCTGAACCCGCCTGATCACAGTGCTAGAGAGAGAGAGGGATAATGTTGGATTTACTTAAGTCTCTTTTGATGAAGGAGGACCTTATTATAAACGCATTAAGCGGAGGGGGGTAAAATGTTTTCATGGTGCAAATTATCTAAGCCTTTCATGTCAGAGGTATTGAATAAAGGCAGTAGATTTAATAGTGGCGCCCCTCTGATGTGCAGCTTAAGTGGCCGACCAGAGACGGTTGTGTAAGAGTGCCGTTCATTAAGATGTGTTTTAAGAGCCCCAAAGCACACCCAAACAGCCATTAGAACGAAATGAGAAATAATATGATTTTCAAATGCATTTCCTAATTTTATTTCCTTTAATGTAGTGACTTGATGTAGTTAACTCCACTGTCATTACCAACTGTGATTATTATAATGAAGTGTGTGTGTTTACTTATAGATAACAACTATTATTATTGTTGTTTGCTGACATCTTTAAATGATTATTTTGTCTAATATTTAGATTTTTTTTCTCATTCAATCGTCACAGGATATTCGGGGGTCTGGTGCTAGATGTGAGGCGGAAAGCTCCGTTTTACTGGAGAGATGTGAAGGACGCTATCAGCCTGCAGTGTTTAGCTTCCATCCTTTTCCTCTATTGCGCCTGCATGTCCCCCGTCATCACCTTCGGAGGCCTTCTGGGGGAAGCCACCAAAAACAACATAGTGAGTCAGACTTGTAGACTTGGCTCTGCCTGGAAAGATCAATGGAGGATTACAGCTCTTTCCTGTGCCTTAAATATTTAATTTCTACTTCCACAGAATGCTGTTTTCTGTGCTCGAATCTTTCACCACAGTTTGATGACAATCCTTTTGTCTGCGTTTGTTTTAGAGTGCCATTGAGTCTCTGTTTGGAGCTTCACTGACCGGTGTGGCCTTCTCTCTGTTTTCTGGTCAGCCTCTCACTATCCTGGGCAGCACTGGGCCTGTTCTAGTTTTTGAGAAAATTCTTTTTAAGTTCTGCAGGTGAGAGAGACTCACTTTCAATAGTGTCATTCCTTATTCGCACCTTATATTGTCACTCCTTTCTCCTTATTCTGTGCCTCAGGCATTATTCTCAAATTTTATAATTTGCAATTAGCGCTTGTTTATATATACATTGATTGACAAAATTATAAACGCCACACTTTTGTTTTTGACCCCATTTTTCATGTGCTGAAGTCAAAGATCTAAGACTTTTTCTATGTACACAAAACAGGGTCCGAAAACCAGTCAGTATTTTTTCACCACTTGCCTCACGTAGCGCAACGCATCTCCTTTGCGTAGAGTTGATCAGGTATTGTGGCCTGTGAAATGTTGGTCCACTTTTATAAAAAAGTTTTATGACATGTCACAGTGCAGTCATTGCTTGACATTTCATCAACTACCCATTTAAAAAGTTTCAGAAAATAGTAAATACTACTTAGTCTGTCCAGATATCAGAGATTAGGATTAGGATAGGCTCATTTTTAAACCACACATACCGTGGCGCCATCTACTGGTGCAGAAAAGAGTTGGCGCAGCACTCTGGACATACAAAACATATTTAAGTTCAACATAGCCAACATAGAAGTGTTTAAATATGCGTCATCTGCTTGGCTTGGTTCTATACTGAAGTTAAGATAAACACATTGTTTATTATATGATTAATCCAGACAGTAGAAGATATTTCTTCATTTAGCAGATGCCTTTACACAGAGCAATATATAACACGTCTATTTGTCTCTCTACAGTGACTACAATCTGTGCTACCTCCCTCTGCGCACTAGCATTGGCCTGTGGACGGCCTTCTTGTGCCTTGTGTTGGTTGCCACAGACGCCAGCTCTCTGGTGTGCTATATAACAAGATTCACAGAGGAAGCCTTCGCTGCTCTCATCTGCATCATTTTCATCTATGAGGCCTTGGAGAAACTCTTCCAACTGGGGGAGATGTACCCTATCAACATGCATGACAATTTGGACAACCTCACATTTTACACGTAAGGAAATGTTTAACTTGGTGTATAAATGGATTGTATACTCAGAGGCTAGATTAAAAATAAACTTGGCCCCTTTAATTCTAATTATTAATATTTTATATTTTTCCTTCAGATGTCAGTGTTCACCTCCAGCCAATACCACAGAGGAGATGGTACAGGCATGGAATCAGTCAGGGTTTACTCCTGAGACCATTAACTGGAGTGAGCTTAATGTGACAGTAAGCATTTATATTTTTTAGACTACAGTTGAAGTGTCTTTTAACATGAAATACTATTAACGACATTTACTTTACGATATTTTTTCCTCGTTTTCTGTCCAATTTCAAAAGACATCAGAATAGGTGTCCAGTTGCCAGATTCTCATTTATTAGTAAATGATGACAAAACTACTTCTTAACAGCTTATTTATTTCTAACAAAATCCATACAGAACCTTTAATGAAAGTAAAATAACTTTAATTTTTTGTTCAAAAGAAATTCTTGATCGTCAAAGCTTGACATGTTTAAAATATCACCTACAAAGGAAACACTATATTCATTAAAGGCCATGGTGCAGGTTAAACACTACTGTCGATTAATGGGTACATAAAGCAGTTAAGATATGTATATGAAGTTAGAAATATCTCAAAAATGGTGTTAAAGTCCCGTTTTTGTAGTTTTTGTTTAGTGACGGTTATTTTTCACGCGACTCGGCGATGACGTCACATGAGGCAGACGCAGCTGCAGGCTGCAGGCAGCGGCGCGCTTCAGAATCGGTTCACAGTAAAGTCTGATGGTTCAAAGCCGAGGAGATCGATGTTCTCGTCAGGGCTGTAAAAGAAATAGAAGTGACATTGGGGATGGGACAAACCCACCCATATTAGCTTCGGTTATGCATATCAATTTGGGCAAATGTGTATGCTTTATGCCTATTTTTCCTATCGTCATCATGAACACAACAATGATTTCCCTCGTGTTTAAATAGTTTTCCTTATAATAATGCATCATTTGTAAAAAGTAAAATGCATCTGTGTAAATGAGAGAATCATCTACTATGTGTATGCGCGTTGTTCACTCTGTATCTGCAAGCATGCGGATAAAATAGCATCTGAAAGTACACGCAACGCGCCACTGACTTTAGACTTGGTTAGGGTGACCAACAGTCCTGTTTTACCAGGACATTTTCTGTTTTCACGTCCTGTCCTGGCTGTTTTTATTTTATTTTTTTAATTATAAAAATGTCCTGGTTTTCAAAAAACTTCTGGGAAAGATCAGATGGGCAAACAAGCATGAGGTAGAAAAACAGGATAAGGAGGAAGAAAACTAGATACATTTTGTTAGTTCGTTTTTGTAAGTTTGTGAGAGCTATTTTTGTTACATTTGGAGGTATTTATTTTAGTTATTTCTTAATTATATATTTATTTTTCTAATACAGAAGAGACATTTCATTCATTCAAACCTAAAATAATTATATATTTATTTTTCTAATACAGAAGAGACATTTCATTCATTCAAACCTGTAATAAAACAGGCTCTGAGAAGCCTATCTGAATTTGTGTCTTGTAATATAACAATTTTCTATCCATACAGAGGAGGCAGGCTACTTTAAATATACTGATACAGATGTAACGTGTACATATCCAGCATTCTGGATATGAGGCATAATGCCTGAATCCATTTGTGCTACACATAGCATACTCACACTTCATGCAAGATAATGGTCCCCTTCAAACCAGCACGCATGAGTATGTTCATGAACAACAGCTATAGGTGACAGGAGATGTGTTGCATACACAATAAACATGAATCAGAGACGTTTCCAACCTACTTACAGAGTTTAAAACTTAAGAATCTTTCCTACTTATCCCTAGGCAATACCAGTACAGTGCATACAGACAGGCTATATGCTGGGCTTATGGTGTTTTAAGCAAGAGCAGAAGAAGCCTCTCGTGTGGTTTCAACCATCAGACAACAATTCCAAAGTCGTGACCAGACCTATCAGGGCTTTCAATCGCCTCGTTTGGATGAAAATTAATTTAAAAATATAATTGCTTATTCTGTTGTCATCACCCAATTGCCCTCAAAATGTTATAAAGTACACAGAACACATGAATTTTTATAAGAATAAAACAGTTTATTGGCATTGCTTGTAATGGTTACTAAACATTTTCTGAACAAGGACAAAGATTACTGAACAAAGACACAGGTTTTAAGTAAACAACTCTATACAAAAAATCTTTAGCCTGTAATAGTGTACTCCAGAGAGCCATAGAGAGAGAGAGTTACGACACTCCCATAGACCGCCATATAGGAACTCTGGAATGAGGAACTAACGCGGGTCGTGGAGCTGGTAAATTAATGAAATTACTGTATTGTTTTACTTTTACACACATTAGCCGACCTCTCGTGAATCTAGTCAGTACATTTTATGTAGCCAGTTTTAGTTAATGCTTATTGGAAGATAATGCATTAATTGCAGCAAGCTATAGCTTACATGACCAACTCTTCATTAAAGTTAGCTAACTTATGGTAACCTGAAGTATATATTATTTATAATATATATTCACGTATGTATGTAGGCCTATGCATATATACACACATAACCCTAACCCATTTAAATAAATGAATTGTGTGTGTGTGTGTGTATACATATATATATATATATATATACACACACACAATTAATATATTATGTTTATGGGTTAAGGTTAGTTATGTGTGATTCAAATATACATGTGTACTGTACATCAAATACATGTATTTGTATGTGTTTTCTGATATGGTTTAGTCCATGATTAGGGTAGGAAGAAGGGGCACATTAGCCATGCTGAAATTAATCCCGTTAACAGTTATGGATCATTAACTATCTCTCCGGTTTCATTTTATGTTAATAAAGTTTATTTTTACCGAACATTACTGCAGATTTGTACATGCACACTTATATTTTATGTTGGTTGTAATTCTGAACAGACCGCCTCTCCAGACCGCTTTGCGTGATCACGAAGGTAGGCTAATGGCTGAATCGGAATTTATAAACAAGATCACGGGAATCAATAGCCTAAGAAAAAAAAGTAATGATTTTGTGCAAAGTAAAACCAAAGAAACAGCACACAAAGAAAAAAACAAAACATGCAGAATGCAGGAAACCACCACTAAATGAGATGACAGGGACAGAAGGAAAGAAGATAACTAACAACTAAAATAAATAAATACAACAAAACCATTGGACTTGTCAGTGGAAAGAAAATAATGTGAAATTAGGTTCTTGAAGCGTGACTGCCGGGCTAGGTAGAGGCTGACGGCCTCCTCAGGAACCTGTTTGAAGGATGTGGCGATGGGGCGATGGGGACAAACTGGCGCTAACCTCTCGAAGAGCCGCAGGTGAATTGGTGTAGCTTTCCCGAAGGGCCTTCATTAATGATGTTGCATAACCTGCAGACATAATAATAATACTGTATAAAGATCATTGCCACTAATGGAAAAACATGAAATTGTCCTGCATATGAATTATAGCAAACATAAACAGTAAACAGAATGTTATGAGATTGCCAGGGAGATTACCCATTGGACCCTAATATGCACTACTAAATGTTTTAAAAAAATAAATAAATAAAAAAATGCAGACCATATTTGATGATTTGAATGTTACTATTAAATGTTATACAATACTAGTGGTAATACACGTGGTAAAGTTAGTAACATAAACTCTGTGAGGTAGTGAATTACTGAGAGGTAACTTAGCTAAACTCTGAAGTGAAAAGTGGATAAACTGTTTCTGACCTAATTTCAGCAGGTAAACTGCATTTAGCCTCCACTACAGCCCTGACGACACGGTCAATGAAAAAGAGAACAGTAGCAGTCTAACGTTATAACAAAACGCAAACACACGATTGCGAAAGCCGCTTGATGATCATCACCACTGATCCAAACACTAGCCACGAAGCCTTCATGACAATATGGACATTTACTTCTGGGCAATTTTGTTTTGGCTCAAATTCGTGCATCACGAAAAATGCTCTTCTAATGTCATAGTGATCGTGCTTGTAGTGGAGGCTATTATGTCAAAGGGCACACGGTAGTTATACAAAATACACACAGAGCTAGCTAACATGCAGCTTGTAAACATTAACGTTAGCATGATGCTTACCGTGGCAATTTCTCGCTTGCGGCAGACGGTGTCTCTCGACCTCGGGACAGGGCAAGCAGAGAGGTTTGCGTTCACAGACGGCAGTGCGGTTGGAAGTAATTTAGCACTCCTCTCACTCTTTAATCCAAGTGAAGTAAGACCATCTTGGCATCCCCTGAGTGGTTATCCTCCTCTTTGAAATGCGCGCTGCATATTCTCGAGTAGGCGGCGACAGAGCTAACGTTAACTTAGCTGAAAAATCTGCTCGCCTAATCTTGACAAACTGCACCCAGCTTCGGAAGATCTATCTATCTATATTTACTTATAAATCTGTCACTGTCAGTGTCACTGCTTCACTAGCTAGCTAACTTAAACTCCTCGTATCACTCTCCCTCAAAATGGTAGGCGGGCCGCGGGGCTGTCTGTCGTCCAACAGTCAGCGAGTGCCTCATGTGACGTCATGGAATGCATTGTGGGAGAAATAAGAATCCTCGCTTAGCTTTAGCTAAAAGCTAACATTTCACCCACTTTTCCGTGTTATATTTTAATTTTTGAGTACCCTACAACATCAGATACAATGGATAACTGTTTAAATGTTTATTACCAACTAGAAAATTGCCAAAAAAGAAAAAAAAAAAAACCTGCACCATGGCCTTTAAGATTTCATGTTGTAAAAAACAATGAATTTTTAAAAGATTTGAATCTTTTTTGACAACCCTAATTTTACATTGCATTTGTATCCATATCTAAATAAATAAAATCTTTAATTGTTATTGGTTGTAATTGTCATTTTTCCCTCTCTTTAAAAGGCTTGCAAGTTACTCCATGGCGAGTTTGTGGGTCCTGCTTGTGGATATAATGGCCCGTACATCCCTGATGTATTATTCTGGTCAGTCATTCTCTTCTTCACCACTTTCTTCCTGTCATCCTTCCTCAAGCAGTTCAAGACCAAGCGATATTTCCCCACTAAGGTTAGTTAGAGTCATTCCTCCACCTGACCTTGTTCTGATACAGAGTTATTTACTCTAACATTTAGTTTCCATCCTCTACAGGTCCGCTCTTCCATCAGTGACTTTGCCGTTTTTCTAACCATCATGATTATGGCCTTGGTTGATTACTTGGTGGGCATCCCTTCTCCTAAACTACATGTCCCAGATAGATTTGAGGTACTATAAATGGTATTTTCTATTATTATTATTATTATTTTTTTTGTTCATCGTAATCTCATTAAACTCAATGCAAGAAAACACGTTTGGCTGGTTTTAGGGTTTTTGGACTTTTGACCGTTGTTTCCACTCTCCAAAATTTGGTCCATGTTTATTTTACTAAGAAAAGTTGGAATCAATATTTCTCAGAGCAGTTACTTATGTATCTTCAAAACGAGTTGGAATGAGTGTATCTTCATTTCAAATTTGTTGTAAGCAGCCCAAAACAAACAGAAAACACACTTAGCAGGGTGTAGTTGATTCTAAAACCACCCCAGCTGTTTCTGTTGTCTGTTATCATGCTAGGCTTTGACTATTGATTTAACCTCTCTTGTCCTGTTTAGCCTGCCAAGACCAAACACGTGAACATTGCCATATTCAATAACATGCTAAAACGTACTATTCTGATGAATGAGTTGTCATGATAAATACTGTTCTTTTGACCTTTCCATTCATCAAAGAATCCTGAAAAAAATATATCATGATTTCCCCCAAAAAATATTAAATATTTTTTAATATTTAAAACGTTTCTCTAGCACCGATATAATAAATCCAAAATAAAAAATGAGAGCACTTCAAACTAAAATCAATCATTTTAAATAGTTACAAGTGAATTTAGGCGTCACAAAGTTATGTACTGTATGAAAAACGAATATACATTTGGATATATGAAAAAGATTTAACAGTGTTATTCAATTATTATTGCTACATGTACAAATATGAGAAAGGAGCATGCACGCTAAAATATCCGACATCGACCGATACCAATAATTAAACTTGTTTCTAATGTTGGCCGATAACTGAAATGGCACAGCAATTGCCATATTGCAATATCCTAAAAAGAGTGTTTTCCTTCTGTCCCGTAGCCCACCTCTAAGAGTCGTGGCTGGCTGATCTCACCCCTGGGTGATAACCCCTCATGGACGTTGATAGCAGCAGCCGTCCCTGCGCTCCTGTGCACCATCCTCATCTTCATGGATCAGCAGATCACCGCTGTCATCATCAACCGTAAAGAGCACAAGCTCAAGGTCAGTTAAACACCTGATCCAGCCTATCAGAGCACTGCAGCGGTGCCGGTGCTCATGGTTCTGTTCTGCTGCAGAAAGGCTGTGGGTATCATCTTGACCTTTTGGTGGTGGCCGTGATGCTCGGCGTGTGTTCTGTGATGGGCTTGCCCTGGTTCGTCGCTGCCACTGTCCTCTCCATCTCTCACGTCAACAGCCTGAAAGTGGAGTCGGAGTGTTCGGCCCCGGGAGAGCAGCCCAAGTTCCTGGGTATCCGTGAGCAGAGGGTTACCGGGTTCATGATCTTTGTCCTTATGGGTCTCTCTGTCTTCATGACATCTATTCTAAAGGTATGTTCAGTTTATAGTGCAGAACATTTTTTTTGTTTTGTTTATATAATTGTTGTACTATGCCTTCTGTCATCTGATTGATAGATTATACTTTTTTTTAGCAAGTAAAAGTCCTTTTAGTATAATTCTGAAAAGCTCCCCCTTTAGGTTGTGGTACATTTGTCCTTTTGCTGTGAAATCTTACTGATTTAATTAGTATTATATAATGTAAAAACACTTAATATTTCAAGATGAACACTTGCTGAACTGAAGAAATTTAGGTTTACTTGATTATCCATACATCACTTTTTGGAAAAATCATGTTAAAATATATTAAGTTTTATGCAAGTTGTATGCTACAGTATACTTTTATAAAGATCTCAATGATTTACATTTTAAGCATTTCATCAGAATTTCATCTTACTTTTTGGCCATAGGCTATAAATGTCAGCAACTGTAACAAATTGCTTATTTTTGCAGTTTGGGCTTCAAAATGAAATTTGAGGTGTTATTTTCCACATTCTCCCATATTATACTATATGAGCCTTAAAAACCTGATGTATCGAATATGATACTCTATAAAAACACGTGTTTGCATATTTTTAATATGTATTTGTTTTAATATGTAAAGCCTGACAAATATTAGTCCGAATTTTAAGAGTTCATGGTATTTGTTCCCCTTTTTTTTTGCTCATTTCTTTATAGTTTATACCAATGCCTGTGTTGTATGGAGTGTTCCTCTACATGGGTGTGTCCTCACTCAAAGGCATACAGGTTAGTGCACTTTCATATTCACAATACAGGATGGTCTTTTTCATAAAGGCAGCTCAATCTAAGACCATGATGAATCAGTGGTAATGTTATTTGTAATCATTCCACTGTAGTTCTTTGACCGTATTAAGCTGTTCGGGATGCCTGCAAAGCACCAGCCTGACCTGATCTACCTGAGATACGTGCCGCTGTGGAAGGTTCACATATTCACAATAGTTCAGCTCACCTGCCTTGTGCTGCTGTGGGTCATCAAAGCAACCGCAGCCGCGGTGGTCTTCCCTATGATGGTAAATATAAGTGTAAACTTTTACAGTTTACACCTGGACGCTGTTTTTTCATCCCAATCTGAGTGAAACGTTAAGCCCTCTTAATAAGGATTAGAAGGTGAGAAAAAGATGTACTTTTTGGGTAGAGAAATGGGATTTCTTGTAGAATATAATCAGATTGTTGATTTAAGTCATTTTTTTCTTGCAATTTGAAAAAGTGCATATTCAAAGCACTTTCAAAGTGACATATATGAATATATGCAGCTTAACGTCATTATTGCATATACAGGGTTAAGTAAACAATATACTCAGTATAACCAAGTTTATTGCATAATTTCCTCATAAGCAGCACAAAATTTGATTCTGTCTCTGCATGTTCGTAGATTGCATTTTAAAAAAGGGGATTTTTTCAGATTGCACTTCTCATCATCCCTGCATTTTTTTAACTCAGTTCTTGTATGCATCTTCTGTAGGTTCTTGCTCTGGTATTTGTGCGGAAGCTTCTAGATTTCTGCTTTACGAAGAGGGAGCTTAGCTGGTTGGATGACATAATGCCAGAAAGCAAGAAGAAAAAGGAAGATGACAAAAAGAAAAAAGCAAAAGAGGTATTTGATCAGTACTTAGACTGAAATTTTAAAGATGGCTCTCCTGTACCTCTTCATATGCATGTTACATCAATGTGATGCTTTGTTTTACTTATAAGCAGGTTTAGAATATTATCTTTACTAAGCACCTTTCTTGTCTAAATGTGTCTGCCCAGGAAGCACAGCGCATGCTGGAGGCAGGAAGAATAGAGATCCCCTTTGATGGTAGTGGTCACCTGGGAATCCCCGTGAAGGCCCTTAAAGTCAGGTTGGTGACGGTTCATACATTTCACAGGATCTCTTTTATACTCCAGCTAAGGCATTTTTTTGTGTGGGTTTCTATTAAGTGACCTGTGTTGGCCTCGTTCAGTAAGTTTGACCTGTTTCTTTTGAGGCAGATGTGACAGTGTAGCGTCCGGCACCTCATATGAGGAACACACGAGCGGAGTGGTTGGTCTTTTGCCTATACGCAGGCCTGTTTGTGTTCTGGTTCCTGCATATTCCCCTTTACTGGGGCGAATTCCAATTGGTGTTTTTGCACCCTTGAAAGACACTTTGGGAAGGGGATGCCATTGGAAGGGGTGTTGCAAACTGAATCCCTTCATGTTGGGCTCTTCCACAAGTCTGTTAGCGAAGGGAACATAGGAAGTATGGTCATGCGACCCAATGTGACGAATCCTCATGATTCATTTTGAAGTTAGATGTGGGAGAGTTCGAGTTAACATGGATAAACAGAGTAACTCAAGCTGTTTTGAATGTGATGTATTACACACATTTTTGTCAATTTTAAATTTAAATAAGTTTTAATAAATGTGTTTAATAGTAGATGTAAGTAAATGTGATTACACGCAGGGCCTGAAGAAGAGAAGTGCCCACTTCAAAGGCTCTCCCTTTCGATGCGAGTAGGGCATAGGATGCTTTCTTCTGATTGGAATTTGCCCCAGCTCATGATGTTAATCATCACTTATATTTGATTAACAGAGTAGTTTGCACATCACCGTGTGAGTGCATGTTTACAAGTCAAAATCGTCTTCTGACAGCTTTGCATTGGTTAACAGTGGAGGGAAAATTCATTCAACTCATCCTTTAACAATGCAGAACAGCTTCAGATGATGATTGTTGCTTATGATTTACCTTGAATGCCCAGTAATTGACATCCCATGTGTAAACCAGTGCTTAATAATATCTAAACAAATTAGGCAGGCCAATATACTTGTTAGACTTCACTAACAGGTTTCAAGAGGATTTTACTCCATGTCTATTTACATTACTATTAGAGGCATTAATATTAGAGCAGGGACTTTCATTTAACATTCAAATGACAGTTGAAGTTAAGTTATGTAAATTTACTCTCGAGGCCAACGTAATACATATCGTAACATGGCTCTCTAGATTTCTTGATTCTGACTGGCCAATTGGGCAATTTTGTGGTAAGATATTTTATGATTAATCATTATTAAAATTATATTCATATCAAATTTGTGCTCAAACCAGAGGTTTCCTCCATGATGATTATACACAATTTACACATACTGTGCACCACCATTCAAACGTTTGGGGTCCGTAAGATATGTTGTTTGTTGCAAGTTTTAAAAGTGACAAATCTTTTGTAACATTGTAACATTCGGCTGTGTCCGAAAACCTAAGCAGCTGACTTGTTGAAACTGATTTCGGATAGACTTCTGAGGCAGCGTAACGGTTCAATAGGATTATGGGATATCAAAGACAGTGAAGGATGCATCTATGCTGCCTTCAAAAGGAAGGTATCTCAGGAGACAGGAAGTTAAGCTAAAATTGGATTCTAACGTGCTTTGGTTTGAAGCCTTCATACGTTGTAATGCATCCTCCGAAAGCAGCATTTTTAAGATTTTGGACGCAACCTATAAATGACTTTACTATTTCAAATAAATGCTGTTTTTTTTGTTTTTTTTTCATTTTCTATTCATCAAAGAATCCTATATCATGGTTTCCACAAAAATACTAAGCAGCACAACTGTTTCCAGCATTGATAATAATATTTTTTTTTTTTCTTGAGCAGCAAATAAGCATATTAGTATGATTTCTGAGTAATGATGCTGAAAATTCAGCTTTTCCGTCACAGGAATAAATTACATTAAAAAAATATATTCAAATAGTAAAATAGTAATTTTGTGAAATATTACATTTAAATTTAAAATAATGGTTTTCTGTGTTTTTGATAGATAAATGTAGACTTGGTTAAGTATAAGATACTTCTGATCTAATAAAAAACGTACTAACCCCACATTTTTAAATGGTAGGGTAGGTTGGTATTATTAAACCACTTTTAGGTTGCCCTGTGAATGTGATTTTGCTTTAAAAGTCCAAAAAACTTTGAAAGTGTGTTTTTGTTTTGTTTGTTTTTCTAGTAGTGGCTTGAGAAGGTTGCCTATTTTGTCTCAGATCTGCTTATTGTCCTTTTCATAGTTACTTTATTTAATATAGATGCAATAGATGGGCCTTACAGAAGAGAAACAATTCCAAGAGGTTGATGTTTAGTTTTTAGCAAGGGAGCAAATAAATCTTTGTAATTCTGCCGGTGGAGAAGACTTAATCAAACGCAATGCTTTGATTACTAACATAACATATTGCTTATGAACAGGGATGCACATAACTGGACCATCAACATGATTCCCAGAGATGGAGAATAGTCCTACTCCATTAAGTAAACCCTAAAAATGTTGCTACTCAAAAGTGCTTCCCTCCACGTTTATTTTTACCCCGCATACACAGCAGTTATGTGCACCCCTGCTTATGAACATCATTACGACACCATTAAATGCTCACCTCTGAAAGACATGAAGGGTCTGTGCTGGGAAGGTTTGTCTTTCGTACATCTGATGTTTTGTGTCATGCTTTATTAATCAAATGGCCATCAAGCACAGTGCTGGTGAACCGAAAGAGATAAGAGTGTGATGAAGTGTGGCCGACCAGCCGTAAGTGCTCTGATGTGTCTTCTCTGCAGCATTGACCCCTCTGTGGTTAACATATCTGATGAGATGGCCAAAACCGCTGTGTGGAAAGCTGTTACCATGAGCTCTGACAGTGCCAAAGTATTGAAACATAGTGCCAGGTAGCCATTCCTAACCCTCTGACCTCATCCCTGTTCTCAAACACAATATTCTGCTTCCTCTCCTTGCTTCAATGCACAGCCTGTTTCCTTGTAAAGCTGTAGACCTGTACATTTTAAACCGTAAAGGCCTGTTCGTCCATTTTTTTCATTTGAATGTATATCATTGCATTTGATTCAATAATGGGTTTATAAATAATTGAAGTCTTTTTTTTTTGTTAATGAATAATATATATTTTTTGCTTCATTTTTAAGAATAAAAACGTTTATATACCAAAAATCTAGTGCTCTGCAACGATTAATCGCGATTAATCGCATCCAAAATAAAAGTTTGTGTTTACGTAATACATGTGTGTATAATTATTTTGTATATATAAATACACACACATGCATGTGTATATTTAAGAAAAATGTGTTCTTAATATATCAAATATTTATTTATACACATAATATTAATTATGTATAAATATATATAAATTATATACATGCAAATATTTCTTACATATTTATTTATGTATACAATATAATTATACACACTACACACATATATTACGTAAACACAAACTTTTATTTTGGATGCAAATAATCGAGATTGATCGTTGCCCAGCACTAAAAAAATTATTATATTTTATCAAAGTATATATTTATAAAAGTTACGCCTTATTTTGAAATTTCAGATTTTTAAATAAACAAAGAAACTTTGTTATATTCAATTAAATGTAAAAGATTTTTCGACATATATATACCCACACACACTCTAACTCACTCACTTCAGATTTTTATATGTTTCGATTAGACACATTTGTTTTCATGTGACCAGGCCTTTATCTATTGTTTAAAAAGTATGCCTGTGAAGAGTTTTGTGTGCTGGATATGCTTTTGCCCATTTCCGATGTATGACATCATTTTTGCGCTTCATCTAACGTGACGCTGTATGTTGCTAGTGTGGTGGTGTGATAACATTTAGGAAAATTGTGCTAGGTGACTTTTATTGCATATTTTCCCTTCATCTTTACTCTTTGTGTTTCAGTGAAGAGAAGACCGCTAGCATTCGGATCAATTTGGAAGATGAGCAGGATAAATGTGTGGATGCAGAGACGTCGATATGAGAGAGCTCACTGTGGACCCTGCAGGGCCCTTCCCAGAATCCTCTAGTTTGTAACAGTGTTGCTCTGTTCTGTGAGCCCTGCCAACCTGCCTAAGCCAAGCCAAAGTTAGACGTGCCCGATAGAGGGCTGAGACACGAGTTCCAGATATATTTATCTAAGTTTCTATTTTTAACCACACCAACAAGCCCTTTTTTTATTTTGTATGATTTGTTTTTAATATGAATAAAGCACCAGTTTTTCAGACATAGGGTATGTTATGAAGAACCCACGCCTTTGATTAAGATTTTATTTGATTATTTAATTTTTCTTTTAGAATTAGTTTTACACGCAGTTTTTCATGGTACCACGATTTTCAAGTCATCGCTTTAAGATGATTTTCTTTTCAGCACATTAAAATGCCGTTTCTTGCAGAGTTCTGCCTTTTAAACGAAGCAAACGCACATATGAGAAAATGTCTCACTGAGACCAAAGGTAGTGACATTCAGCTGCATGACTGACCTTCCAAACTGGAAGAAAAAAAACAAAAACGTGCAAAGCGAACACTTTAACATGCCACATGAAGGACATAATAAACCTGAATACAGAATAAATTATTATACTTTAATTGTAAAAATGTCATTCCCAACGACGGTCTGACGGAATGCTTGATGATTTATGTACACATGCTATATTAAAACGGAGCAGTCGATAGCACAGAATGAGAATAAACTAAACAAACCGGTCAGGACGATTAAAACTAGGGCGATGTAAATTGTTCTAGATTGTGTTTTAGAGCTAATCAATATAAGTTTTGCCCCCATGTTTACATTGTTTCTTTTTTAGTGTTATGAAATAGAATTTTGTATTGTTAGTACTTTTGATTTGTACAATGTGTTAATCAACTAATTTATTAACGGTCATTTAATGGTCAAGTATGCGGAGGCGATGTATGGGGCAGAAGGATTGCTGCAGTGTTGTTGGCCTGTCATTTGTTTCCTCTTCTGTTAGCGCTGTTAATGTGCACTTTAGGTAGGCTTGCCATCACCACAACAACTTATTTAATCTAGAGCAGTCTCAGGAAACTTCTTTTTTGCACTCTCTCCCCACACTACTTCATCTCCTCAGTGCTTCAAGATCACACGTCCTCCTTTTATGCTTTTTATTTGATGAGAAATGTCTTTGAATTTGAACACTGGACAACAGCCTCTGCCCCCAACTCTATTTTCTCCACGCTGAAAACATTTTTAAAAGCAACCCTTTTTTGCAATATTTATGATACTCCAACATGTTGTTATGTATTCTTTCAAGTTGCCAAGTGTAGTTGATTTGAAATGAGTAGTTTACTTGCCGTAGTGAACTAGTTGACTGTCCTCATGCTTGCACGGCACTTCATAAATCCCACAATGAAAATGAAATACCTCGGACTACTACATGTGAAGGCTCTCTATGAATTAAAAAAAGAAGAAATCAGTAGGTTGTACACTTTTACTCTTGCAGCAAGTTACTTGCTGAAGTCGATCAGTTAATGTTGGAGTCTGTGAGTGGGAGAGTAATATTGAATACCTGGAGGATTGTTTGCTGTCTTACACCATTAGTGTCTTTCTGTATAAGCCTCACAGTTGGACTCTGAACAAGTATTGCTGCCGTGGTGTTCTGAGCTTCTGTCTGCATAATGAACGTGTACTATTTCAGGTTCAGACAGATGTTTCCCGTGTGGCCAAATCAAGGTTTAAGTAGGCGATACTTTGCATTTGGACAATATACAAACAATGGAATAGAGTTGTCTTTTGTAATGTTGAAGTTGTTTATTAAAGCAATAATGGTTTCTGTTGTCTTTTAATCTACTGTGTGTTTATTATTTTTTCGATATCTCCCTTAACATTGATACTCTTACATTTAGATTTTGTTGGAGCCATTATTTTGAAGTGTATTTTTTGTTTGTGACACTAGAGGGCGTATTAGTATTTTGAGTATATTTAAAGGAGTAGTTCACTTTTAAAAAAACTTTTGCTGATGATTTACTCGCCCCTATGTCATCGAAGATATCCATGTCATTCTTTCTTCAGTCGAAAAGAAATTAAGGCTTTTGATGAAAACATTCCAGGATTTTCTCCATATAATGGACTTCAATGGGAACCAAATGGTCCCAATTCAAGGTCCAAATGAGAGTTTCAGACGATGAATAAGGGTCTTATCTAGGACCCTTCGGGTCATGACTCGAAAAAAGATTTGTTCATTTTGTTGAACGAGTTTGAACAGGAGAGTCACAGAACAGAGCAAGCCGAGCATTTGTGCTTATAAAACTTAAACTTTTTTTATTTATTTTTTAAATGACCGCTTTTTTTTCGCTAGATAAGACCCTTTTTCATCGTCTGGTGTCGTTTAAAGCCCTTTGAAGCTGCACTGAAACTCTCATTTGGACCTTGAACCATTTGGTTCCCATTGAAGTCCATTATATGGAGAAAATCCTGGAATGTTTTCATCAAAAACCTTAATTTCTTTTCGACTGAAGAAAGAAAGACACGGATATCTTGGATGACATGGGGTGTGATTAAATTATCAGCAAAAGTTTTTTTTTTAAAAGTGAACTATTCCTTTAAGTGTGGTGATGATAACAATGAGCAACAGGTGCGCTGATCTGGATAGTTAGATTGTGCTCATGCCTGTATGTTTGAATCAGAAATGTTGGTTTAGTGTTTTATCTTCGTTTATTTTGTTGTTTGCAATGAATCCCAAATGGACAATAAAAGGATTTGGCTCATCTGAAATTGATTCTGAAGATATGGACATTTATTTATTTGATTCAAGACGTAAGCACGCGTCAGAAACAATCAAATGAAACCATCTGCGTCACTACATTAAGTCAAAAAGTTTGACCAAAGGAGACTGAATGAGGATATATCGACATCGACAGGAGCGGATCGAATTGGACGACGACTACAGGAAAAGTCAGCTGATCTGAAGTCGGAGGAGGCTCATTCGTGACAGTTTGTTGGATTTGAAGGTCTACAAGCCCGCACGTGCAAACCGAAGAGAGTTCAGAGCACACTTCAGCGTTTGTGGAACTGAGGTATGAAAGCGCTTTCACTTGAGTCAAATGACTAGCCTATATATAAAAAAAGTGTGCACACAATAGACAAATCCAATGCGCATTGGTGGTAAAAAGAAAAAAGGGGGTTTGTGAAACGAAGTACTGAACTGTTTGTGAAATGCTTAATTGTGTTTGTTAATGTTTACACTTTAAGGTGATGGTTATGATGTAAAATATGCAGTTAGCAAAGGTTTTTTAAAAAAATGGCGGATGATGAAAGTGAATTTCCTGCTTCTGAAATCGAGCAAGATGGCGCTCCGATTCAGAAAGCAGTGGTTGAAAATATTGAATTGTCTGTACGTAAACGAAAGGTTAAGCTTATTGCAAAAGGGTTAATGGCAAAACTCGATATTTTACAGAAACAAAGAAAGTCAAAATTTGACAAAGCATCCCAACTAAAAAAGACAATACAAGAGTTAATGAGCAGAAAAAATAAAAATTAGGTCAAAGGTAACTTATGTTTAAAATGTTTGAGACACAATGCAAAGAAGCACACGAGATTGCTTTATTGCCTGATGAAGAAAAAAGACCGGCATGAAACATGGTTCAAAGCAAAAAATGATATGGGTTGTGGAATTCAGCACTGTGGTATGTAAATGGTGTGATTGATATTGATGCAAAAATCGCTGCATCCAATGCAAAGATATCTGTGCTCAGGACTTATGAACAACGAGCAAACAGCATCGCATCAGATGGGATGGAGTCCTATTTCAGCAAACAAGCAACTGCATCTCTTCATCCAGAAGTTGAGAGACAGTCAAGGACTACATTGCAAGGCAGCACAGGTGCTACCTCACAACCACCAACATCATCTCATTTACATCAACCTGCATCTTCAAGAGCCAGAACAGCCACTTCAGTAGATGATAGAAGGTCTGGTTTCACACAGAGTATGCTTCAAAAACATCAAGAAATAACAGAGTTGTTAATAAACCAGCAAAAGTCTCAACATTTACCACCACGTGATATTTCAGTGTTTGAAGGAGATCCATTGTAATTCAGTTTGTTCACTAAAGCTTTTAAACACTGTGTGGAGGACAAAACGAATAACAAAGATGATTGCTTGTATTTCCTTGAAAGATACACAAGAGGGCGCCCAAGAGAAATTGTTCGAAGCTGTATGAATATGGCACCGGAAAGAGGTTATGATACAGCTAAAACTATGCTTAAATAGTTGTTTCGAGAGGATTATTTTGTTTCTGCTGCATATATGGAGAAGCCCCTTGGATGGCCCATGATCAGGTATGAAGATACAACAGCTCTTCAAGATTATGTGCTCTTTTGCAATGCTATGGCAGATCTACAGTATATGCAAGAACTGGACATGCCAACAAACATGAGAGCAGTAATAAAGCTTTCATTTAAACTCAGAGAAAAATGGAGAACAGCTGCATGTGAGATCATGGAAGGACAGAAGAGAAGAGCCCAATTTCGTGATGTTGTCAACTTCATTGAATACCAAGTTAAAATCATTTCTGATCCAATATTTGGGTCTATTCAACATGTAGAGATGAAAACAACTGGTAAACCGAAGGATGTCTACAAATGGAAGTCACCATTCCAGTCAAAGCCAAAGTTAAAAGGGGATAGTTTTGCTACCAATGTTAACAAACCCATTGTTGGTGAAATCCAAAGGGTAAATGCTGAACATCTAAGCAGGCAATTCAAGAGTAACTCTACTTGTTTGTGTTGTTCACAAGGTCATTCATTGGAGCAATGAGTTTGAGAAGAAGAAACAGGGAAAAGGTCAACTTTATAAAGGAAAAAGCTGTCTGTTTTGGTTGCTTATATGTTGGACACATGAGCAAAGAATGCAAGGCGCTTAACTTGCAAAGTGTGCAACCAAACAGCCCAGTGTTCTTCACATTCATTTTAAAGAGCTCAAGGTTGATAAAGCTGTCAACACAAACCATGAACAGAGAATGTAGAACCAACTATCAACAATACACTTGTATCTGCCCAAACGTGTGGTCATATTGGGGCCGGGAGTAGCAGTGGTATCTTACCTATCCTTCCAGTCCAAGTAAAGTCTGCAAGGGGCAACAAAATTGTTCAAACTTATGAATTTCTGGACACAGGCAGTACCTCTACCTTTTGTTCAGAAAGGTGCACCTGAATGGACGAAAGACAAATATTTGTTTGCTTACCATGAGTCCCAAAACAACAGTCTCAAGCTATGTGGTAAGCAACTTGGAGATTTCAAGTCTTGATGGTGATCATTTTTATGAATTACCAGAAGTGTACACACAGAAACAAATGCCCGTAAACCAAGCTAACATGGTCAATCAGGAAGACCTAACCAAATGGCCATATCTTGAGGATATTCAAATTCCGCACATTCAGGCTGAAGTGGAGTTGTTGATGGGTACCAACGCCTCCAAATTACTTGAACCATGGGAAGTAGTGAATAGTCAGGGAGATGGTCCCTATGCCATACGAACCCTATTGGGGTGGGTCGCCAATGGTTCTCTAGGCAGTTAGTTATCAAAATGAACAACTCACAGCTAGAGTAAATAGAATCTCTGTTGAATCCTTGGAGTTGCTATTGGAAAAGCAATACCTGCATGATTTCAATGAAAGGATGTCAGAGGACAAAGAAGAAATGTCCAGAGACGAGGCAGAATTCATGGAAATCATGGAGAAATCTGTGAGCTTCAAGAATGGATATTATAGTTTGAAACTGCCTTTTAAAAACAAAGATGTTGTTATGTCTAACAATCTTAACATTGCCAAACAGCGTCTTGTGGGGATAAAAAGAAAGTTAGAAAAGAATGTTAAAGGAGAACTCTGGCGCAAAATGAACCTTTGGTCTAATTGCACATTGTTACCTAGTCAACCATTATCTGAAATTTGTTTTCATGATTGCCGAATGTAAATAGTTTTATCTCTAAAACAGCTAGTATAACGCTAGTATATAGGGCGAGGGCATAGAGTAATGACAAATAAAAAAATAAAAAAAAATCGCTTGTTATTACCACCAACAAGGCTCAAAATAGCCCCACACTAACACGGTAGCATAATAAGGGTCCCTACATTCAAACCAAAGCATTGAGAACTTTGTCAGTGTCCATACAGTTTAAAAGAAGATATTTTATACACACGGTCAACTTCGTGAATACAGGAAGAAGCCATCTTTGAAAAATAGTCTCTACCAGTCGATCCATGTGCGCTGGTGAGATGTAAGGTGATAAGGTGAGCGTGAACAGTAGGCTACGTGTACATATTGAAGAGAAGAAAACGGTTAGTGTTTGTGTTTCTTCTGGAAACAACGGACCATATGAGATTCTGCACAGTTTAGCGCTGAAAAAACCGACAGGGGTACCTGATCTTCACGAAACTCTGAATTCTGATAGGGGGCCATGAGACTTAGACCTGAGTGCAAAAATGGAGGCTCTAGACCCTTCCAGAGCTGAGATATTGAGATCCCACGTAACATTTATGCCATTATAAAAATAGTGGGTTCGCGGATGGTGGAATTTTGGGACGGTGCTTGGTACCAAGGACCCCGGGGCGCCTGCTGAGAGCAGTAAAATAGTTTTTATCCCAAAATTCAGAAAAAAAGAGAACATGAATTATTTAACCGTTCACATGCACGTTCAAATGTAATGTAAAGGACACTTGAATTACAACAGAAAATATGCTACAAATTGATTCCTTTAATAACTCCATGGCAGTGATTACAGTCCCTCAGCTTGATTTTAAAGTACTATTATTATTATTGACATCAGAAAAGACAACTGAGATTAAAAAATAAAAATAACAAAAACACTGTTACCATTTCTTAACAATTGCATTTCACTGGCAGAATTCTGAACAATGGTAAACCTCAATACAGAAAGAGAAAATGACACTGACATGATCCAAATGAAAATACATAAAAATAAATGAAAAAGAGATAAAAATACTATTTCAGAGGATAACTTCTCTAATACATAACACTGACTGTGATTTTTTACACACAAAACCTAAAAGTAACAAAAAGAGTAACAAGCATTTTATTTACAACAGATGATTAATAAAACTGAGTTGGTAGACTAAAAATAAGACTATAGATTATCATAATCCTCCCTTAAATTATATATATTTTTTGTAAAATATATATATATAAATGTGAATTTTAAAACTTTCCACAAAAAGGTTTTTACGAAACTTCACAGGTTAAAAATCCTAAAAGGAGTAAATAAAAAGTAAAAGGATTTAGGTCAAGTGAAACCATATTCTGGACCATATGCAACCAGCAGCACCATGGATAGCAAAAATCACAGTCACCCAGACAAAATAAATACAATTTAACAAGCATGAGAGCAGAAGATTAAAGGCAGATTCAATACTGATGGACTCTCGGCGGTGAATCACCTGATTCTCCACGGTTTAAACATTTCATACAGTTGATCAAAACAAAACGGACACCAAAGTGGCAGAAGCCGGTCTCAATAAAAACAGATCTGACTTTTACAAAAATAATCATTGCTGTGTATATACACACGTATCAAATACACAAAACAGTAACGTTGAGGGAAATCTGCTGTTATCTCTTATCTCTCACCGTTTTGGGAACTCGAAGGACTTTGTAAATGTTGTTGTGAAAGACGGTCGAGAAGTGAGGACGAGAATCCCTCGACACGAGAGTGCAAAGTGGCACTTTTCCTGCATTTTGGCTGTCCTCCACATCCCAGATCTCGGGCATGCTGCAGCCAGGCCTGGAGATGAAGGAAAAAAAAAACACGTGTGAGATACAAGAAGTTATGGAAGCTTGATTCGGCCATGAAAAAAATAAAATGTAAAGATAATTTGTCATTTTCCTCACAAATGCAAGTTTATATATCACAATTTTGACAGAAACAAGTTGCAAATTCCGACTTCGTTTTTACGACTTCATAACAATTAAAAAAAAAAATGTTTTCCTGTCGGAAATATACGGAGCCCCACACATGACATGCGGACAAAAATGTATAATTACTTTTGCCAACTTAATTGGTTCCCTCGTTTTAGTAAATTGTAGCCACTTTTAATTTGTTCCATTGTTTTGATTAAACTAAAACAAGGGAACAAATTACGACATGGCAATGATTTGTCTAAAACAAGGGAGTAAACTAATAAAAGAAGAATGGCTAAATTTGTGGCTAAATATCGAGTTCGTACGATATCAAAGACACAAAACAAAGTATATTTTTATGAAAGGGTAATCAAATGCATGCTAATATAATTAGTTTGTGCTTTTGTTTTTATTTTAAAAGCATTATTTTTGTTTTTAGATTGTAAAGTTACAATGTTAGATTGTAATGTCGAGTTCGTTCGTACAATATATCAAAGACACAAAACAGTATAAAAAATGTATATAAATGAGTATATTTTTATGAAAGTGACCCTTATAATGGGTAATCAAATGCAGGCTAATATAATTAGTTTGTGCTTTTGTTTTTATTTTAAAAGCATTATTTTTGTTTTTAGATTGTAATGTGATTTTAACCATAATGTAATGTAGGCTATGCAATATACTATATTCAGTATATTTGTTTCCAATATATCCTTCAATATCAACATTGTTTGTAGGATATCATCGGGCAGGATACAGATTTTCTTTATCCAAATAGAAAAACGTAGAAAGTATATATGTATATGTGGGGCTCCGTAGAAACAAGCTTCCATAAGAAATGATCAAATTGAATGGTAGTAATTCAAAGTATTACTTGGAGCGTCTGGTGCACCATGAGTCCTCTAAGATGAAATAGTCCACCTGCAGCTTTAATAAGTTTCGCTTTACTTCCTCAGCTGGCTTTCGGCTGTACATGGAGTACACCATCTTTGTTCTTTCTCTGAATAATGACGAGATGAAATCAAACACTTTACACAGGCAGAACAATATCATAAGAATGTAATAATAGGACAAATCGAGTGACAAAACATATGTTAAATCATGCCAACCTTAATCCTGCATCTTCATAGTGTGGGTGATTCACTATGGCTCTGCCTGTGGACAGTTTCACACTTGCCATGGTGGGCATAGCACCAGCAAACACAGCATCTACAGGAATATTGCATGGATGTCAGAAAATGGTCATTAAAAGAGTGGTTTCATTATACACAGTTAAACGTCAATCCAAAAGACTGGAGTTTATCACTAGGGCTTGTGTTGTCCTTGATCCACTCCAGGAGCTCTTCTTGAGGGAAGTTGCTAAATTCTCCTATGATGCCCCATTGATTCTGCAGGTTGGCAAATCCTTGAACTGCCATGATGGACAATATTCCCACGACGGTTATCAGAAGTTTAAACTTCTCTCCTACCCAGCCAAACAGCTACAGAGGAAGAGCCAAAGATACCAAAACATTAGTGAGTCCAACTGCATTTTAGATTTGAAAGCTTTTGCATTCTGAATATATTGGAGTGTGTTGGCAAAGCAAAGAAAGTTTCTAATAGAGTGTGGTCGGATCACCTGTCTGGAGCAGATTAAACAGGACATGATGCACATGTGAGGAGTGAGGAAGAGCTTCAGTCTCATGATGAGCACAGCCAGCACTGCAAACGCCACCAGCTGCAGACTGTGGTACACCAGCTAGAAAAACAATGGACAATCATGACAAAAGAAATACAGCCTCTGGATATCAACTAGTACTCCATGAGTCACTATATATTATTGCATTTTTTTGAATATAAAATGAAAAAAGCTATCTTACCACTCCTTTCGCCAACACCTGGGCCCTGCAAGAGAGAGAAGAAGAAAAAATAAAATAAATGTTAATAAATAAAAATAAATGTTTGTTGAACATCAAATCAATCTGTTATGTAATTTGTAGAATAGAATACTTACTGCTCCGTTTCATCATCCTCTGACTTTTCTGCCTTCTCATTTTTGAGGAAATTAATAACATCCTGCACAGTCTGTCCTCAGGAAGCAAAATGAGGAAGCATACGCAGGGTGGATTAGTACGTAAATAACTTAAGTTTCCGTCAATAAAAGGCTAAACTAACTGATAAACTCCAAAAAACTGACAGAAAGCTGTAAACTTAGAAGGATACTGGGGCAAACAGATAAAACTTCGGAGAGGGAAACCATCAATTATCTAAGAGAAAACAACTCACCCTTCCAGCAATAAAACCCACTATCAGCATGTTAACTGGAAGGAGCATGGTTTTGATGTACCGGATGAGAGTCTGAAAACACATGAAATGAGCTCGTGAAAAAAAAACCTTTGACTGATTGCAAGAAAATAGATTGTCCTGATCATGTCGCCCACCTCTGCTTCAATGAAGTCAAACTCAGCTGCACACGTGTACATCATCGTGTCAAAGTCTTTGTAGCTTGTGAACTTGGATTTGATGAGACTGCTGATGTGGGCCTGAAAAATCAATAAATCAAATCAAAAGCCCTGAGAACTGCTTAAAGTACCTTTAACTGATGTTCACAGCAAGAGAAAACAGCACTGCTCTTCTTTTAACTCACATCATCTGAGGCCCCAAAGATCACAGAAAGCATGAATTTTAGGATGACAGTGGAGACCACCCATGCAAGACACTGCAGGACCTAATAAAAACAACACAATCGTTTTTGGTATAAGTCAATTTAGCCAGGCACATTTTTACTGATGCATCAGCATACACTGGATGTGCTCTTACCCATGTGAAGATTCTCGGTTTGAACGTACCAATCAAACGGTCCCTCAGTGCAATAACCCCCTGAAACGAAAGAAGACCAACCAGTTAAAGGGTTAGTTCACCCAAAAATGAAAATTAAGTCATTAATTACTCACCCCCATGCTGTACCAACCCCGTAAGACCTTCGTTCGTCTTCGGAACACAAATGAAGATATTTTTGATTAAATTTGAGAGGTGTATAACTACCACATTGGCTCCTAAGGGACTGCCTCTTGACGGCCCAGAAAGTCAATGAAGAAAATGTTTAAATATCCCAAGTGACTACCGTGGCTCAACTATATGTTTATCAAGCGACGAGAATACTTTTTGTGCGAAAAAACAAACAAAAATAACGAGTTTATTCGACTATTCCTTTTCTTCCTTGTAGGTCAGAAACGAGACTTCCTTAGATTTCCACGACGCATGCGCGAGAACTGAACTGAAGTAGTGTAAGGAGATCGCAATTCTCACTTTTTGCACCAGGCTGTAAACATGGGGGGGTATATGGGATAGACTCACTGTTGTAGCCTGTCTCTAACGGCAAGTCGATGAATTGCAGCTTAAATCTCTTCTGTGTTGGTTTCAAGAGAGACAGGAAGGTTGCCGCTTGGTTTGTTCCCAGTATGTTTGTGTTTGAGGTCATCTATTTGTATGCACTTTGTACTTAAAGGGTTAGTTCTTTAGTTTGTGCTGTGTAACGCATGAGAATGAACCTCATTGGTTCTCGCACGTCAAGTAAACATGCTTGAGCTTCCGTTTACCACAACTGATGTGTGGTCAATGATTATATGTGAATAAAAGGCTAAATTCTGTTCATCATATTAAGTGATTTCATCTCTTCTGAAAATTTGGACTAAATACTCAATTTATATGGATTAGGTTTGCAACCTCTTTATGAACTTTTTCAAGCATCAAAGTGGTAGTTGTGTAGCTGTCAATGGAGGGACAGAAATCACTCCAATTTCATTAAAAAGATCTTTATTTGTGTTCCAAATATGAACTAAAGTCTTGTGGGTTTGGAATGAAATGAGGGTTAGTCAACCCTTTAATCATGGATGTTTATTCAGTCAGGCTATGGCACTATTTGCCTAGCATGTTCTCTGGAAGACAACATTCATTTCAGCAATCATATCAGCTGCTGGTGTCCTTAGAAACCATCTATCCAGAGAAAGTAGTAAATGGATTCTCATACAGAAATGAGACCTCACACCTGCCCAACTCACCCAGATAGAAACCAGTGAAGAGGCGTAAAAGGACGTCAGCAGCATCGAATTCCCGAACATTAGCAGAAAACAGACGGCCAAGGAGATCTGTGGAGATCAGTCAGTTCATCGGTGAATCACAAAGACAACATGAGCAATATTGTGGCTCCATCAGTTAAGTCTAGATTACTTTACCATGTGTGTCACTAAGATGGACTGCATTTTCTTCGGACTCAGATATCCCAGGATATACGAGGCAAAAAGGGATGCAACCTGTGAAACACAAAAACATTCTTGTCATAGCATCTTTTGCTATCTTACTGCAAAACAATTTTCTCATAAAGGTTTAAATTTAAAATGCGATATTCCTGAGGCATGCAATCATGTGACGCATCTAGTCAGTTTTCTTCAGGCAAAAATATGATTACAAATTAGTCTGACACAGGAAGTGAACTGTATACATTTATTTTAGGACACATACACTCCCATTCAAAAAGTTGGGATAAGGAAGGTATTTCTTTTGAAAGAAAGTAATTAATACAAACGTAAAAACATTTATAATGTTGCTAAAAAGCTTTGCCATCAGAGGAACAAATTACATTTTAAAACATTTAAATAGAAAACAGTTCACAATATTGGCGTTTTTACTATGTTTGATCAAACTAAAAACATTTTTTATTTTAAATATCGCACCAACCCCAAACCTTTGAAAGGAAGTATATCTATTACATCAGGAACACTTATCTAGTGTAAAAGTCAGATGCAATCGTGTTCAATTTCAGCAGGACATGCAAAGATGAAAGGTTGCAGAAACTAAATGCTAAATTTGGCTGCTTCAAATATCAACATTACGACACAAAGGCATTCTTACGATCCAGTCATTTCTTCAAATCACTTACCTGGGTAAGTAAGACAAATTGAGCAAACTGCCACGGCAGCATGAAGAAAACATTGGAGATTCCCAGAGCCATCATGGTATACTTGCTTGGATTCCTTGTCCTTCCAAAAATCAAAAAAATCCCATAAGAATAGATCTTAATTATATAGAATAATTCAAATCTGTACTTATGATAAATAAAGTACATATCAACACAAATGCACCATTAAATTACGTGTGATTAAAGTAGATGTGTTAGAGGAAAAACATAGAAAGATTGCTTAAATGTCTTAGATGACTATATAAAATCAAAACGATCTTAAGCCATCAAATATAAAGAGTGAACGTGAGCATGAAAGTTTTAATATGAAGTAGGAATACATAGCAAGTTACCGGAGGATGCATGTGAGCAGAAGCATCTGCAGAACCAAGAAGGGGTAAGAGAAGCTCTCTCTCAGAGGTGGTGTCCACATGACCCGAGTACTCTGGGATTCAAGGGTTCAAAGAGACGAATGCTCTAAATGCTAGGAGACTGTAGTGAAATAAAACACTATCCACATATGCTTAAGAAAACACAAACATCAGCTTTACCTCTCCATGGTTAAAGAAGAAACACAGAACCGTAACAGTGCCACCCAGTTGACTGCCACTATAAGAACAGCCAAAATAGAAAGTGCATGTTTTGATTTAGTTTTTGAAAAAACACAGTTAGGATCAACCATTTGGAATCATATCTGAACTTCTTAAAGATCCACTTTCTTCTGTATCGATTGAAGGACTCTCCTCTGACTGAGGTGTTTAACCTGGGCTCTATTACCTTAGATATGTTCCATAAATAAAGAACAGACTCATCATCGCCCCATTTAACAGGAACACAAAGGTGACATAGAAGTATGCGGGGTCTCCCAGACCTGTGGAAAAGCCACTCAAGTAAGTAAAATATCTGCAAAATGAAGAACACAGCCAGTCACACAGTCAATAAAATGGCACCTTCTACGTTCACTTTTTTATGCACATCAAAAAACACTTAAAAAAATATGAGTGTGACGAGTGTGTTGGCAGAAGTAAAAGTTGCAAAAAAAATTTGCAAATGCAAAAATAGGCTTAAGACATTTCTAAAGCGTGCATTTTAATTGTAACTACAATCAAGGAAACGAAGACAAATTAGAAGGTGATTGTAATAATAAATAAATCCCATTTCATGATGTTATTTACAATGTACTCTACTTTAGAAGCTCAAATATTTAACAACAAATAGATGTTTGGGTCAAACAAGGCTTCTCAAATACCTTCACAACTCTCCACTGGATCCAGACCCTCCCCTCTGTTGATGGTCCAACACATCTTGGTAGGGAACCCAAAGAAGTCCATTGTGCTGGTGAATGCTCTGTACCAGCTGGCCAAGAGCACCTGCAGTACAAGAGAAAGTTCATTTCAAAAGCACAAGCAAAAACTGTGACATGAACACATTTCATTGACCTTCAGAAGATGCCATTCATCTTACCTCAGGGTACAAGTTGAACCTCTTTAGAGTGTTTATCACCAGAGGGTATTCAGTGAGCCGGTCATTCATGATCATGTAAAGACCATCCATGAAGGAAGAAGCCTCAATGATGGTCTTGAAATAGGAGTAATACAGTCCCTATAAAAGTGAAAAGTGTAAGGTATACACACACTGAGGTTGAACAATGAAACTGAAACACTGGCCAATATAGCGTTGGGGGTTTCATGCCTATGTATGCGAAGCCTTATGGCCAGCCTTTACTGATATTACACATTGATCCATGTCTCTGTGGCTCATCTGTGTCTGGGACAGCAAGTCTTTGTGGTGTATCGAGAGCTATGGTTTCCAGGGTAACGTCAGCATACCTCCATGAAGGACGAACCACATCCAAAAGGAGTAGCTACTGTTGACACAAGAGGAAGCTGTCTGAAAGAGATGTCCAGATACTAACCCAGATTGTATCCAAAAAACTTAAAACCACAGCTCTGCCCAGCACACTGCAGAATTAAACGCGCAACTCGACTCTCCCGTTTCTACGTAAACAGTTTGTCTGGAGCTCTAACAGAGTCAATATTCATGGGCAGGCTGCTATAGCCAAACATTTCATCACTCATGCCAATCCCAAATGTCGGATTCAATGGTATCAACAGTGCAAATCTTGGGCTATGGACAATGTGAAACATGTCCTTGTCTCTGATGAGTCCACCTTCACTGACTTTCCCACATCCATGGGAGTAATGGTGTGGAGAAGCCCCAAATAGGCTTAACACCCGGACTGTTGCTGCCCAGATTAAAGCACAGCGGTGGGATCAGTGTGTGATGCTTTGGGCTGCAATATCATGGCATTCTCTACTGAGCTTAACGGGCACGTCACTGCCAAGGACTACTGAACTAGACTAGAGAACCGTGTGCACTTAATGGTTCAAATATTGTACCCTGACGGGGGTCAGTATGATAATTCACCAATACACACAGCAAGACTTGAGACAGAATGGTTTGATGAACATGATAGTGAAGTTGAAATGTCACAGTCACCAGATCTAAATATTTTTGAGCTACTTTGGGGTATTTTGGAGGAGCAAGTCAGAAAACGTTCTCCTCCAACAGGATCACAGTGGCCTGGAAGAAGAATGGCTAAAAATCTCTCTGACCACTGTACAAATTATCTGTCATTTCCAAGATGAATTGATACTGTAACCCTAGCCTATTCCAATAAATGATTGTGGTCTGCCAGGTGTTTCAGATTCATTGTCAAAACACTGTATATAAAACATACATACATGAACACACATGAATTCAACAAAGAAGTAATAACCATCTCCGTTCGAAAAGCCATCTCCTTTTCCAAGGACGACATGTGTGAAAAGTGTCTGTCATTTTCAAATAGACGTGAGAGATGATACCTGAGAAAAACAGGAACATTTATTGATTTAGTCTTAAGAGGAACATTATTATCAGTTTTAAAAGTCTAAAGCAACTTACCAGTGTAAAAATCCCGCAATAACGGCTGTGGAAAGAAATATATCAGGTTAGGCGACTTTGCCCAGGTCAGACAGACAGACAGCTACGTGGCCACATTCATTGGAGGACTCTTATCTGAACCAAACAAACTCTAGTCTCTAGTAGATGACGTGTAGAAGTTGCCTAGTGTAATACAGATTATTATCAATTATGTGAATTAATTAACATCGGTATTAAAACTCTGGGTGGTTGTCATGAACAAAGAATTGTCAGTAACGTTACACAGTGGTCATCATTGGCTAATAACCGAAGTGAAATTAAATTTGATTGGTTGCCAAATACAGTTAACATGTGAACATTCACAAATAACCCTGGTAATTTAGTGTTGGTCAAGAATAAAAGCTCAATACAACTTTGTTGTTCAACAGCCGAGCTGCTTGATCCTGAGTACATGCTAGATGCTAATCTGAATAACCGTTAGCTACCTAGCGGCTATGAAACAAAGCCTTACCGAGAACCAGAACAGTTATTCCTCTTGCAAAAGCAGATGGGCTCAACCCCAGTTTGTTTCTAATGAACCCAGCAAAAAGTCCGTTTTTACTCTGGTAAGCAGAGCCTTTCCCATCTTTCACACGCCTGCTTTTCCCCGAGACGGACTGACTCCTGTCCTTCTCGGTGCTCTGCTCCTTGGCATTTGGTTTTCTCGTTTTAGCTACCATGTTTTCATATTTCTGTCCGTAATAGAGGTACAACAGGAGCGTATATACGCGATCAGTTTGTTTCACTCTTCCAAACGCCTCACATCTGTGTATCTGAACAGTTTGAGAGAGCTCTGGGACTTCAGTGATCTGTTGAATGAAGCGGGCATCGCCCCCGTCTGGACGCAGCGCTCATCTGTCAGCGTCACTTACCATGGCAACGCGATTAAAAACCTGGGTAGCCATGATGATGGTAAAGAATTTCGGCAACCAGCGTAAAACCAATAAATAAAATGCATATACTGGTATATACCATAGCCATTCATTTACATGTAGCCTAGGGGAGGTTTTCGTTCTTGTGCAGAGACCTCAATCATACAATTAAAAAGGCAGATATGTTTTTTCGTGTATTAAAGATCCCATTTGTTGGCTACTGTGTAACGTTATAATAAATATGTGTAAAATAGTATTTGGGAAATATTTAGTTTCTATGACATTGGATTATTACCCGTTTTACTCATGCTGTGCCGTTATATTTATCATTTATTTAATGTAATTAGTGACAATATAACAGTTTTTCCTTCTTTAAAACCCCTGTTTCCCCACCGTTTAAAGGGTTGTGTTTTGTATAGCTAATAATCTTTCCATGAACCGGCATTTGTCTTTTGAGAAGAAGCCTCCTTGAATCCTGAATTAGGAACAGCCAACGATAACCAATATCGTTATTCTATAAGAGATTGAAATCGCAAAGCTGATCTGGGGTCAGTGCATACGTTCTCTTTTTATGTATGTGGAAACATCTCCAAATGTACGGAACTCTCCGCGTTCAGTTCTCTTGTGCTGATGACGACATTTCCGGAGTTACGCCCGACTCCATTTTACACGAAAACAATCTTAGGGCAAGATATTTTTTTTACTCGGGTACGTATAATTTTAGTTTTCTTTTTAAATGCCTAAAATATTATATCTTTGATTTAATATTAACTTATATTGAGCGTTCTTGCTGTCTGGGATTAATATGGAGTCTGTAGCTCACTGGCTAGTTAGCTGCTGGTCATTATCGTCTGATGTTTGTTTCTTTGCGTTTGCTGTTAACATACGGGTAAACAGTCATATTTAAGAGAAACATTTTATAATTATTATTTTTTAATCAAGTAAACCAACAGTTATCCTGGGGTCATTATATCTGATGAAGTGTTGTGTTTAGTTAACTTACCTAGTAACGTTGCTAGGCTTGGTAACGTAAACTGTCACGAGCATAATGCATTTATTCTCTTCTTAATTTTTTATCGTATTGTTTTTATTTTTATTTATTGATAATTTACTGGAAGTTTTCTGCCATCATCATATGCAAATGTCAAATAATGAATAGTTTCACTTTCACTCTAGATGCAGATTTCATCCAACTTCTGGGATAATTTAGGCAAATTAATATTTTATGTTGCTTTTAAACACATTTGACACACAAAAGGAATATTTGACCCATTAAATTTCTGCCAAGATTTGTGTCAGGTGTTAGAAAGTGTGTTATCAGCTCATTGCTTTATTCATGTAATATTTCTATCTAGCACATAGTGCTTTCATACCAGTATGTTGTGTCTGATTTATTAGGCCTGTTTGCATGCAAAACTGGTATTTTATGTAAAATGACAAAAGTGTCACGTTTTCATTTATGAGTAACATATTTTCTCTCGCTCTGTTTTTCTTCATAGGCTGACAGAGTGCATCCACCTGACTCTGCCACATTCCTCTCACTGAATTAGTATGGCTAATGTTAAGTGCTAGGACTGCCTTGAAAGCAACATGAAGGATACTTTCACAGTTCATCAGCCATGAATCACGTCTGAGAAAGGAAAATATCCCTGCCCTTGAACAGGACAGCTGGTTCTGTGTGGTTTTCCCTGTTTCAAAGCTCAAGAGCTGCTTTATTATGAAACATGGACCAGGGTACAGTTGACAGCCCTGTTACTCTTGTCATCAAGGCACCCAACCAGAAATATGATGACCAGACCATCAATTGTTTTTTGAATTGGACAGTTGAGAAATTGAAAAAACACATCTCCAAAGTGTATCCTAGCAAGCCGGTGAGTTTATATTATTATCAGGATTGTTATTCTATTTCAAAAACATGTCTGCTGCCACTCAAGAAACACAGAAGAAGCCTATGAAATTGTGCATTGACTTCAAGAAATGGCAGCTAGATGCCAAACATTCCTGTAGAGCAGGTGGCATCACTGGTATTTTGCCTCAGAGCCTTATGCAGTTGCTGCCATTACTGATTAACGACTTGTTTTAGATGCCTTTCTGACATTTTAATATGAGATTTTATTGAATGTCTCTCTTTCTTATGAAACTGTCAATGCCTTTCTTCCATTTAGACAAGCTTAATAGTAAAAATAAAGTCCCTGTTCATTTTTCCTCTTTCAGTTATCCAAGGACCAGAGACTTGTCTATTCTGGACGACTTCTGCAAGATCACTTGCAGTTGAGGGACGTGCTAAGAAAGGTACACTCCTAATCTCTTGATTTCTGTTTAAACATCAAATCAAATGCAACGGGTACAAAAGTGTGTCGAACAGTATGATTGTTTTTGATAGTTGAGATTCTGAAGCTGCCGTTTTATTTCAAGATCCCAAATCTTTTGTATGTCACCATCATAATCTTGATATTGATGGCACAGTTCCCCACCATCTTGGGGTGATTTTACTCTTAGAAATTGTAGGGCAAGAGGATTGGACCAAAATTGTATAAGACGGTTATTCGCAGAAACTCACAGGAAGTGAAGTCATGCAGTCCATGAAGGACAGATCGTTAACAGCAGGACTTTGTGGAATTACAGTATGTAGGGTATGTAGGAAATACAAATGTTCGCCTTTCATCCATATGGCTTATGATTTGAAACGCGTAAGTAGTTGCAACTTTACATGGCCGGTCGTTCTAACATGAACCTGGATAAATATGAACTATTATTAATAGGCACATACACTTTTTCCAGTGCTTTGCTGCAAGCTTTCTGTCTGCACTTGAGTGCAGAATTTGCTGTAGATGTTAGGCCTATATATAGCCTATTAAAGGCTCATTGTGGTTTAGTTCCCCCCCAGTATATTTAAATAATTAAATTAATATTAATGTGCAATTAGTCTATTGTTAATTGCTTAAATGAATGACTGGGGCAGCACTAAGAAATTGTTTTAAAGTTGGCAAATGGCAAGAAATTAAAAATGCATCTTAGAGATTGTATCGTGACTGAATCATCCATGCATGTTTCCTTTCTTTAACAACAACAAAAAAAAAAATTTGAGCTTTGGAATTTAAGATTTTTAATCACAATACCAATTAAATTTAGTCCAATTAAAATCTTTCTTCACATGCATTCAGATCTGCCTCCATCCAATCAACAATTTGGATAAAAGTCCCTGCACTACTTTTCTACTTTTTTCCCGATAAAATGTTGTCACGATGCAGAATAAAAGATCTGTCGCTACTTTTCAAAAACATTGAGAGATATGACACAGTAGTCAGAAACATAAATTTGATTCATTTCTACATCGACCAATAATTAAAAATGGCACAAACCGAATGCAATAACTTGTATAGTGAACACTTTCTTTGGTTATATAACCCCGAAAGTGCTGTTCATATTGTGTTATTCTTAATGTATAGTATTTGACGAGAGCTCTGATCACTTGATTTGTTCAACCCCAACAGCAAGATGAATACCACATGGTCCACCTAGTATGTGCTTCACGAAGCCCCCCATCATCCCCCACTTTCAGCAGCCCTATTAGCACCACTGATTCCAGCTCTTCGGTGAGTGCCTAAAAGAACAATGCATGCATTGAATAAAAAAAAAAGAAATGGATCATTCCTTGAAGAGCATTTTCTTTTCTCGCTGTTTATTATGTCCATTATTCCTCCTTATTCCTAGACGTCAGACAATGTTGGTCCATCTTCCACATCTTCTACCCCTAGTCCTGAAACCGCAGCCAACTCTGACGGTCTACGACATCGGGGGAACCCAGTGCAAACACATGGCCTCAATCCTGCCCCTACTGGTGTGATGCAGAGGTAAACACATAAATAACACTTTCCTGCTCAAGACAAAACATGTTGAATTGAGTTGAGTTTTAAGGCCTTTTGTTGTCCCACTTAGGCCTGAAGGAATGCCTCTTCCCATGCAAGGTGGTCCTGCTGCTGGCTTCCCCGCCCACCCTGTATATATGCCGATGCAAATGTTTTGGTGGCAGCAGATGTATGCCCGTCATTATTATGTGCAATAGTAAGTTACTACAGCCCAGTTGTCATCAGGCGTCATTAAGGTGTGACCCTGAATTAATGTATTTGTAATGTATGACTTTTTTTGAAAGAGATTTAAAGACTCTTCTATTAAAATGTAATAATATTTCACAAAGTTTTTACTGCATGCCTTGGTAAGCATATGCTTATTTATTCCTGTAATGCAAAGCTGAATTTTCAGCATCATTACTCCAGTCTTAAATGTCACATGATGCTTTAGAAATCATTCTAAGATGCATTTTATTTGATGCTCCAGAAACTATTATTATTATAAATGTAGAAAACAGTTTTTGCTGCCTAATATTTTTGTGGAAACCCAAAGTTTGGGATCAGTAAGATTAAAAATAAATACTTTTATTCTGCAAAGACGCATTAAATTGAACAAATTGACAGTAATGCCATTTATAATGTTACAAATTATTTCTATTTCAAATAAATGCTGTTCTTTTGAACCTTTTTGTTTCCACAAAAATATTTAGGACATTTATTTATTTATTTTTTACATTAACCCGTTATTAATATTTTAGCACCAATAATAGACAACAGTTGAGCACCAAATCAGAATATTACAATAATTTCTGAAGGATCATGTGACACTGAAGACTGAAGTAATGGTTTCTGAAAATTCAGCTTTGCATTCACAGCAATAAATTCAAATTTTAAATATATTCAAATAAATGTTATTTAAAATTATAATAATATTTCACAGTATTACAGTTTGTACTGTAATAATAGTACATTTTAGTACAGTTTGTACTAAAATAAATCGAGCTTTTGATAGTTAGTGTAAATGGATATAGAGCACAACTTGACGCTTTATAGTTTCTTATTAATTGTCTAATTTTAATGTGCACAATTCATCACTGTGCATTATTT